ATTTTTATTAGCTTAAAATGATATTTATGAAAATAGTCAAATTTGCGATGGGGGGGGAAATTTCCCCCTTCCCCCCCATTGGTTACGCGCCTGCACGGTTCCTAGCCCAGGTTTTCCCTTACTTTATACTTTGATCACCAAATTATTACATTTTCTTAAACCATCCACAAAATAATAAATTAGAACTTATATTTTAAGAATTAAGATTAAAAAAGGGGTCAATATTATATGAAAATCCATGTTTAATTTACAGATATATATAAACAAGATTATATTTACTTTTTCAAAAAAACTTATGCAATTATTTCAAAAAAATAATAAATATATATATTGGTTAAAAAAAATAAAGATGAAGGTAAAAATATATTATATATTTTTATTTTATATTTAAACCGATTCTTCAAACTTTTAATTATATAAATTAAATTTTAAAAAAAAATCAATTATATTTTAAAAGATTCTTTTTTAGAAAGGCCTTTTGATGTTCATTTTTCATTATATATATATATATATATTTTTGGCTTATATTTCTACCTAAAATTCACTTTGTTATAATAAAATAAATAAATATTCGGCTTTGGGGAAAAAGGGATCTTCTCTTTTAATTTATATAATATATTTTTTTTGTAATTTTTTATCAATCATGGTATTTATAAGGTATATAATATATAAAAGTTTAATATAAAAGATGGGTTTTAATAATTTGATTTATTATCCACAAAGGAAAAATGCCGTTTTTTCAATACATTTTTTAATATTTTGGTGATTGATGATATCTTATAATACGATATCTAAATTCCATTTGAATTATAGTCAAGAATTTATACCAGGACCTGCAGAAATAACATTTACACGGCCTGGCCCGGATATTTTTTTCAAAATTTTTTTTCGGCCCAGCCCGGGTTTTATATTTTCAGGCCCGGCCCGGATTTTTAAAAAACATATATTTATTTTTGATTTTTATAGCAAATAATGGCGATTTCAATTTTTAAAAAAAATTTCAAAAAATAAAATTTCAAACCCGGCCCAGCCCGGGTAATTTAAAAAAATTAACGGACCGAGGTTAGGACCAGGCCTGCAGGTCTCTGATTTATATATTAGAAGAAACCGGAGATTATCCTACTAGCCCCAAAATGCAAACCTCGAAAAAATAAAAATAATGTAGAATTTTTAGATTAATAATAACTAACTTTGTTCCACTCATTATACTTATTTTACATTATATATGTTACAGTCAAATCCATAGTCAACGAATTTTCATATTGTCTCAGTCAAATGGGGTAATATAATATTTTAAAATATTGTGTGAAATTTAGGTATTATAACACGTGCTGGAATGCATTTTCGGAAAAATAGGATTATTTAAATTTAAAAACGCGCTAAATATTATTATAAATAGAAAAATAACATATTGATATGCTTAAAACGTATTTTTTACATTTTAATAATTTGATTTTGCCAAAAATATATTTCCAGTAGGTGTAGAATACTCAGAGACCTGCAGATATACCATTTGAATTGGTCTGGTCCTGATTTTTTAGAATATATTAATTTATTAATTTTTATAGCTAATAATAAAGATTAAAAATATACCGTTTTAAAAAAACAGCCCGTCCTGGGTATTTTTCAAATAAAGAATTTTTGGCCACGTCCAGCCCGGGTATTTATAAAAAAAAAATTTTAGGCCCCTCTTGGGTACATTTAAAAAAAAGGTTTAAAGCAAGACCAGACCTGCAGGTCTCTGAGAATACCTATCTCAAGGAGTTCTACTAGTAGGGGGAAGGGGGTTGATGCATCGTCGTTGAAATTGGAGAAATTTATTAGGACTAAGTGACTATAAAATATTGACGATTTCTTATATACAAATCCAAATATAAATTATGATAAAATATTAAATGCATATAATCGGCATATAAATCAATAAAATAAATGTTATGGAAATAAAATTTGTAAAAAAATATAAATTTCTTAAGCATTTAAAATTTATGCTGGAAATATAGATTAATACATGAAAATATTCTTAGCAAAAAATATGATTTTTAGAAAAATGGGGATACATAGAATTAAGATAGTATTATCTCGGGGAAAGTAATTTCTTCTAATAATTCTGAAACTAAGTATTTTAATAAGATACTTAAATAAAATGTTTCGCAATGTAAAGTTTTAATGTAGATGTCAAAAGTAACTTTTTAATTTTTTTACATTTTTACTAATCAATTTTTTTTTATGAAAATTACTAGGACTAAATATCAATTTTAAATGATTAAGTAATCTCAATTTTATCATGTATAAAAATATTGACAATATTTACGGTAATTTAATATCTGGAAATTAAATTTTAAATAAATATGAAGAGGGGGTAGGTTTTGGCTAGATGTATATTAGCCATTTTTAAAGGGATTTGGAATAAAATAAAATCCAATATTTATAAAAAGATTAGAAGCCACGGGTTTGTCAATGGTCACCAATTATAAATTGAAGATGATTGACTTATTTTTTTGTAAATTATATGACAGTTTTAAGGGACAACAAGCTCTTCCGGGTGATTTTATATAATATAGATGAATCCCTGGTAAATTTAACATATTTGACAATACATTTTCATTTATTTACTTAGGTTTAACAATTTTATATAAAAAATTTTTAAAAATCTAAAAATAAAGAAGCTCTATAACACGCATCACGAAAGGGTAAAAGGTAACCTGAGTGTTTTTCATAGTTTTTAAATTTTATATTTATAAAGAACTAAAAGATATTTTTTTCTTAAATATTAATTCGTAGAAAAAATAAAATAAAATTTTAATGTTTTGGATTTGATTCGTCTATGTTAAAGGATCCCATGATTTCTGAATGCAAACTATGGTAATATAGTTGATAATATTTCAAAAAATGCTATAGATGCTTCGTATAATTTAAAAATTATTGACTATTTTCTTGATTATATAAATTATTATATATTTAGGGAACTCTTCTTATTCGTCCTTTTACCCTTGAAAGAACATTTTCTTCCTTGACAAGAATAAAAACATGCCTGATAAGTAGTGTTGCTATAGCTCAATGAAACGATTTATTAAAACACTAAATCGATTTTAGCTAGAAAATTGCTCTAGATTTCGTGAATAGATGCCCAAACCTTTGTGCCATTTTGAGTAAAATCTTTTGCATATTATTTTTCTGGATAAAATATTGAATGGCCGTTTTTTAAAATCGGCTCAAATCAAGCCATTTTACACACTACAAAGCTAAATATTATTTTTTTTTTCTATCAAGATTAAAAAGATTCGGAAGGATTCTGCTGTAATCATATTTGCATATTTGTAATGCTTCCTGATTAATCAAGAACCTTTCACATTCATTTGAGAGTATCCAAGAGGGGAATGAAGTTATTTATTTTATAGTATTTTTCTACTGACCTATAATAATATTGAAACAATATGCTTTCTTTGCTGCCAGTCGAGCGATGGAGACAAATAATTTCATAAAGTTCTACTTTTGACATTCATCACCTACTGTCCTAATTTTCTTAAGTTCCATTATATAATGTCAACTATTCTCATAATCTCAATCAAATCGACCAATTTTTTAAATGTTTTACTTTAATTTTGCAGTGAAAAAGTTTAAATAATTTGGTGGGAAATTTTAAGATGGTTGATAAATATAACAGAAATTTGAAATTTATGTTAATTCATAGAATAAATTAGTAATATTTCTGTCGTGAATGCGATAAATAAGTATAAATTGAAATAAATATTCGGTAAAAAAATATGAATCAATAATATTTTCAAATATTTTAGCCGACATCTTAATTTTTTGACTGGAGGGGGGGGGGATTTGCTCGCCCCCCTCCCCGCTTTGTACACGCCTTAATTATTGTTGTATATAAAGTTGACGCGTTCATCGTATTTCTTAAATATGGTACCTAACTGATGTGGAAGTGTTAATCAGTGTGCAGTTACAAAACCTATTCAGATTAGAGATTTTTTTAATTCATAGGTAGGGCTAATTTACAAAAATTTGCCAGTCTAATTAACAACATTTTAACTCTTTTATGCACAGAAAAGGAGGGTCATATTTACTTTTTATTACGTATTTTTGCAAGATTTAAAAAAAAAATGTAATATAATAATATATTGTTTATTTTATATCGAAAATAAAAGTGATTTCATGGTGGGTTAGGTTTTATATTAACATATAAAAAGGGTACCCCAAAAAGTAGGTTATATTTTGGCATAGCGTGAGAATAAAAGGGTTTAAATGACATATACTGGATATGATATAGCAATTAAATTTCAAATTAGTTTTGAAATGAAAGAAGAGTTGAAGGGAGAACAAGAAACTTGCTTTTTTTAAATTTAATTTTAAGACAAGTTATAATTAATTGAACTTTAAAGAAAAGGATGATAATTCATATTTTACATTTTCGTTCAAAAATGAAAAATTCTTTGTTGTAGTATAAGATATTTTTGTTAAAGAAAATCAGCAAAGATTTAGAGAAAAATTAATTATCCATCCACCTAAATTGATATAAAAGGTAAAGTATATATAATATGATTGGTATGGAAATTTTTATTAATATAAATAATATTAAGACTTGACATTGATTGATAGGTTAAATTTACAAAATAATAATTTTCAACTTAAATCTGAAAAATAAACAAGGAAAAAAAATTGCATAATATTATATTATCTATATATATATAACAAATAATTTATCCTCCTTTTATTTTATTATTTTAGAAAATAAATATTTGATAATAAGATATAAAATAATCTAATATAAGTTAACTATAATTATACAAACAAGATGATTGAACCAGATATATTTTTTAAAAAATAATATTTTTTAAATTCATAGCTCAGACCCTTTAAAAAAAATTGATAATTTATTTAAAAAAAAATTATTAAACTTTTGTATACTATTTCAATGTATCATATTATTTTAGACAAATATTAACCACACGAGGAAGAAGGAATATAAATATTTTACAAAGGAAAAAAAAATGAATCATTCCGAGAGTCTTCAAAAACTTTATAATGATCTGATATCCGAAAATATCCGTTCCGAAGCTCAAATGATAAATCCGGAAGGCGTTATACAATATTTTCCTTCGTTAAAACACATAAAAAGTTTTGAAGAAGATGTTGATGGTAAATATATTTTTACACTATATAATTTATACTTATAGACCTGTATACCCAACCTATTACTCCGACCTATGTACCGGGTCTTAAAATATTTATTAAAATCGGTGCTACGTTGAAATGAATTTTTTTAAAATAAATTTTAAAATATTTTAAGACCCAATCGTAAAAATAGTATTGTTAAAGGCTCTTTTTGAGCCTATTTTTTAAAACGGTTAACTTAATATTTAATCCAGAAAAATATTACGTAAGCATGGCCATAGACGGGTACAAAGGTTTATAAACATCTATTAATCTAGAGGCGAACGCAATATTATTCTGGCTAAAATGTTGAGTTATCCGTTTTTAGAAATCGACTCAAATCGAGTTGTTTAAAATTTTTTCCTTATTTTATAAAGTGTTTTTTGGTTTTAACTTTTTCCGCTTTCATAGCTTAAAATCATAAGCTGGTTATAATGATACCCTATTATATGGATGTGAATTAAAATATAAAATTGTTAATAAATTAGGGATTTTATAGGGGGCCTAGATATTTAGATATATAAATTTATTTTCAATGGGTCTTTCTCAGATATGCTATATTTATTATGATTTATAATTAGATAGGTTATAAAATATTTAATTATCAAAACAAACAATATTTGAATAAAATTGTGCTTAATCAGGAAATACGTGTATTGCCTGATAAATATTTCAGGAAATTTGTGCAATTTTGGATATATTAAGGTAACTCATTAAATTGTATATAATGGAATACATTTTCGACAAAATCCGATTTTAAACTTAAAATAGAACTCATAAAATTATTTTGCAATATTTTCAACTTTAAATAGTTTATTTAGCTCGTTTTTTAAATTTGAAATCGGATTTTCCGAGAAATATTTATTCCAGCATGTGTAAAACACCCATCCTATAAATTACAAACAATTTTATAAGGATTTTACATGTAATTTCCCTGAGATTGGGCAACATACATATTGACTTATATAATATATAAATATAAAATTCTGTAGTAATATATATTGTAGTAGGAGATCCAAGCTTCGCCAATTTCAAAAGCCAAAGGCTAATAAAATTTGAAATAATTTCGGGTCGATTTGAGCCGATTTTTCAAAACGGCTATCTCAACATTTTGGCCAATAAATATTGCCTAACAGGCGCGTAATCAATGGGGATGGGGGGGGGGGGATTTGACTGTTTTCATATATATCATTTTAAGCTATTAAAAAATTTACCTCCCCCCCCTCCAATCAAAATTTGGAAATATTTGAATATCAATTTTCCAACATAAAACTTATTTTTCATAAATAAATTTTATTAAAATTTCCTTTCCTTGTGAGTATATTAACATTATTCAAAAATATTAATAAAATGGAAAAAATTTTAATTAAAGAGATAATAAAGAGGTAATTTATTTTATCATTATGATATTTCTAGTTATATTTATTATGATTATTTTATCAAATTCAAAATTATTAGTGAGTTAGGAGTTAATAAGTATTTTTTATAATATTTTGATTATTAATAAATATCATGAATTTTTTAAATATTGTTCATTTCCATTTTGAATAACAGAAGAAATCAGGGACCCGAACCATTATTTATAACAGTTCAGTTCGGAGTGTTGTTAAACGGTTCGATTTTAGGCGATTTTTAAAAACGGCTAACTCTATATTTCAGTCAGAAAAAATATTGCCTAAGCCTCGAGGCTTCGCTAATAGATGTATATAAACTATTGTGTTATCTGAGAAAAATCTTCAGTCTTACGTAAAATTTTTCTGGCTAAAATATTGAGTTAGCCGTTTTTAAAAATCGGCTCAAATCGAGCCGTTTAACAACACTAGTTTGGTTACGGTTCAGTATACAAAAAATTATAATAGTTACGGTTCAGTTACGGTTTTTGAGGAAAAATTTATAAAGTTTCGGTTCGGTTCAGTTAATTGTAAAGGTTCATAAGGATTTATTACGATTAGAAATATTTTATAAATTATTTTTATTGACATCGTATAACGATTTTAATTATAAATATTATTCATTAAAATTTGTGCCATCACTTAAGTTAATTATATAATAACATCCTCTTAACGTCCATTTAATTAAAATAAATTTCGAATCCCTTTTTTGTTTCTAAATTTTTTATTTATTTATCTTATTCCCTCTCTTCTAAGAAAAACAATAACACATAAAATTTTAATTCCCTTTCCCAACTTGCCCCTCCCCTTTAAATATAAATGCCCCCTTCTACCAAAAATATGGGCTACATAGCCTAATCAACAATAAAGGGACCCTAAGGAAGCACGGGAAAAGTGGTAACGGATGTCATTTATCACATCAGTCACCTTTCACAGATTCTATCCCCCCCCCCTCCATTTTCTCAATTACACTTAACATTAGCATCCCCTTTGCATATCCCAGCTCTCACCACAATTAATAATTTATCTATCATTGAGGACTCACCCTGTACTTCCAATGAGTTACCAATATCCTCCTTCTCCGATGAATTTACAAACTTACCTAAACCTCATATTATCTCAAGAATTCCCCGGGGAGCCAGGCCTCTTGAAGCTAAATCGTATAGTACAACTATTAATAACCTTCTAACCAATTTTAACTCCCCACGGCACTGGAAGACGTTCCTTTTATTTTCCATGCCTTTCAAGTTCTAACTGACAAAAGCAAACTGTCCCTCACTCAACAAATTAAAAACAGGTTAAATGTATTATACAACATTTCAATGGACATAACCTCCACTCCGAAGTTATCCATAAATCCTTTTAAGATAAAGGTAAATTTAGTGGGGAAACCTTCGTCTGACCTCCTCCTCAGACACACTGGCCCCATTAATTTTCAAACCTAAACCAAATTTGCTATAAAGCACCCCCCCCCATCAGACATCTACAACTGAATTATCTTGTGCCCACATCTTACCCAATATAATTCAGTCCAGAGGAAGCGAGAAAAGCAATCTCAACCTTTCAAAAAGATTCTGCACATGGTTTTGAAGGCATGATATACCTTCAAGACCTAACCATCCCTCTACTAAATTTTTAAACTACCCTACTCAACTGTACAACTCTCATTTGTAAGTCGTTCCTATCTTCGCACAGCCAATTAAGTTGTAAAATTAATCGCTCTTACAAAACCCAACAAAGACCTACGCCCAATTGCCATAGATATCCTCTTCAGGAGATTAGCATCAAAATTAATTTTGGATTGAATCAATGAGAAAATCTCTACAAGTCTCACACCATCTCAGCTAGGGGTTAGTGTCAAAGGTGACTGTGAGTCTGCCTCATATAACCCGCATATATCTTCAAAATAATCCTCTAAATAAACATCTAATTAAAATTGATTTTAACAATGCAACACAATAAAACGGTCTGTCTTTCTAAAATCCTCCATCAATAGCTTTCCATGCTGCTCCAACTACATTTTAAATTGTTATGCGAATCCCTCCATCCTATAATATGGTGAATATAGGCTTTCTTTTTCAGAAGGAATTCAACAGGGTGATCCTCCAGGGTCGATATTATTCTGCCTAGGAATAGATTTACTTAAAAAAATTAAAAGCAGCTGCCTGTTAGATCTTCATCTCTGTAACATAAATCACGGAATTATAAGCGATAGTCCTGAAGAGATAGACAAAGCCCTATAAATTTTGCAAAAGGTTGAACCAATCATAGGCCTTCTCTTAAACGTTGACAAAACAGAATTCTGTCAGAATCTCTCAATCTCCCAACTGCCACGTCTTTAAAAAGGTTATGGCCGAAGAACTAACACATCTTGGCTCCCCAGTTGGAGGTTACTTATCCGTTGAAGCCTATTTTCAAGCGACTTCTTATAATTTAAACAATATAGAGGAACTAACTTTCCACACATAAATCTTTCTTTTTAATTAAAAATTTCTTCAATATACCAAGGATCCTTTATGCTTTACGGTCAACTGCTATTTTTAAACATCCTGAACCCTTAAAAGCATATGAATCCATTATAAAAATCATTATGAAAAAATAACTAATCTCAAATTTAACTTCAATTCGTGGCATCAAGCCACTCTCTGCAATAAAGGAGGCATAGGGTTACGATCACCCATAGCCTTATCAATTAGTCATCTTGTCTAAATTGGCAAGCTCCAAATTAATAACAGATCACCTGTCCTTACTAGATGCGCCGCTTGATGAACCCTATACCATATGGAAAGCCTCAGTCGGGGATGAATGTCACCTCCAGCCTTCCATAAATAAAAGAATTGGGATAATCCAATGATTGCAAGGTCCGTTGATTACCTCTTTTCCATCATGCTATCTGAAGATCATGCCTTATTAGTTTCTCATCCAAGGTTCTGGATATGAATACTTAGACACCATTCCCTCTAAAAATCTTGACCTCGAGCTGTCAAACCAAGAATTAAGATTTGCAGTAGCTATTGCTTAAATGTGATGGCCTCAGTATCATATAAGTGCGCTAAGTGCAAGAAACCAGTAAGTCAAACTGGTCGTCATTGCCTCCATTGCATCTTTAGCAGTAGACGTTTACTCCGACATAACAGATGTAATAAATACTCTCATAAAAAGGGCTTTACAGTACGCAGGCTTCCTGCCACTTTAGAACCCCCAGGTCTCTTTACGGAGGGGAGACGACCCGATGGAAATACATAAATTCCTTCGAAGAATGGCCGATTTCTAGCGTGGGGTTTTTTCCTGCGTTGACCCCCTCTCACACTCCAACATCAATAAGGACATTTTAAAGTAACAGAAAATTTTAAAACGAACAAATATGTAGATCGATGAGTAAAAATTTGTACCAGTTGTCTCTACAACTTTAACATCCGTTGGCAGCCAGGCTCTTAACCTAATTAAAAAGTTTATCTGAGCTTTAAGAACTAAATCAGGGGACCCGAAAAAAGGCGTCTACTTACTTCAACGCAAAGGAATTCAGATTATGAAGTCTAATTTCACATGTTTCATGGGTTTATTCCGCGAGGAGCCCGATTAATCTAGATCTTCTTCCTCTTCCCTTAATTATTTAGAATTTTTTTTTCTTTCTCATATAACCTTTTGTATTAATTATAATTGTTAAATTATATTTTCTTTTAAAATTCCGTTATGTGCAACAAAAATTACTGAACGTATAAGTAATATATTTTCTAATATAAGTGGATTCATATTTGTTCGTTGTGGCGATAACACAATTTTAACTTCGAAAATGCCCTTTTAACAGAAACTTGTGTTACGGGAATCGCAAGTACTATAAGAGCAAGTTTATATAATTATGAATATTCATATTTTTTGATTCCCAATATATAAAAGCTGATGATTTTTTAGATTAATTAAATACAATTAAATCAAAAATTGGTTATTTTGATATTTTGCATACTAAAATATAAGAAATAGAAATGCTCTAATGCTATATGAAGCAGTTAAAAGAAATCTTAAGTCACAGTGAAAAATTAACACATACTTTTTATGGATATTAAACAAATATTTTGGTCCTGTATATAAATAACAACGTAGATATGGTAAAATATGTAATACACCACAAGGTTCTTGATGAATTGACAAATTTCCCAAGAAAATTAAAAATCACATTATAATTATAGTAATCAATAAATTTTTTATATAATATTGTATTTGATAAGAAGTTATAAAAACTTGTTTTTAAATTATTTTCTAGTCAATATTTTAGACACACTAAAATTAGTATTTTCAATAAATTTTTTTTATTCTACTTATATTGTATGAGAATTTAAACTGAAACTAGTTTTTAAAGAAAATTTTATTTAAAAAAAATGACACTAAATTTTATTTCAATTTTGCATTTAAATTTTTTTTATATTAAATATAATATATATACCTAATTTAAAATAATAAAAAATTGGGTTATAACCTTTATTTCTTCTTTATTAAATATCCATAAGCGCGAATTAGTAAATAAAAGCTAAATATATATAACTTTTTAGATGTAAAAGGAAATTTAAGAGAGATTTCACATAATTATATATTTTTAAAACCTTTTAATTCTTATAAAATTTTATTTTATAAACCGTTATTAAGAATCTATGCACATAGGCAATTACAATTAATAATTTAGAAATAATATGGTTCTTTATTACAAATTTTATAAAATTATCAAAAGTCTGTTTTAATTTTATAATAAGTATATATAATATAATTTTATTGAATAGTTACAATTTAAACAAAACAATTTTAAATTCATTCTAAATATCAATTAAGAAGTCATGACATTTTTCCATTTAGGCAGGAAATTAATGGTTTACCTTATAAAATAATTTGACTTACTCTGAGGCTGGGTGAAATCAATTCCTTTACATATTTAAAAGTTAAAAAACAAAAATATATTGTAGTAGTGCTCACGCACTAATAATAATTATATAGTTGTAGGTATCTGGGTATTTAGGGGAGAGTGTGGATAAATGGCCATGATTTTTTTCATGTCAAATAAAATGATTAAAACTATTCATCAGTGTGTAACTTAAATCTAAGTAATAATAAAAATAAAATCTCTATCTAATGGAGTATTTTATATATATTATTTTATGTAAAAAAGATATTTGGGCCAGTCAACCAAGGCCTGGTGTTGATCTTAACCTGAGTTATGGTACATTTAAGCTATTCTTGCCCCCTACTTTTAGTTCCTTTCTTGCATATTATATCGATATATACAAGCGCGTACGGAAGGAATTTGATCTGGGGGGTGGGGGTGATAATTGATAATTTTTTTAAAAATTATTCTAAGAGTCATTTATTAATAACTTAAGTTTAATAATTTTATTAAGATTGGAGATTATAAATATTGACAATTTCTAGTACACAAATTTAAATACGAAAATTATAAAATATTAAATGTATATAATAGTGTTCAAATCGTTATAAAATAAATGTTTACAAAAATAGTATAAATATTTTATGCATATTTAAATTATATTTTTACAAAAATATTGGAATAGATTAATGCACAAAAATATTCTTAAGAAGTATTGCATATATATAAATACAAAATATTCATGAAAAAAAATATGGTGTATCAAAAAATGAGTAAAAATATTAATTAAAAAGCATATTATAAATTTATAATTTAAAATTCAATATAGCTAATTTTTGATGAATTTATCAGTCCTTGGTGTCAACTCCCTATGTATATTAAGAAGGGCTAACCCCCATTCAATCCATTTTCAGAGGTATTACTTCTCCTTATGTTGTTAAAGGGCCCAAATTGAGCCTATTCTTAAAAACGACTAAATCAATATATTATCTAGAATGATATTAAACAAGACTTTATATTTTACTCATAGATGGCACAAAGGTTTGTACATCTATTGGCTAAATCTTGAGGCTTAGGCAATATTTTTTTGGTAAATCTACGAGTCATTTAACAACACTCGTTCCCAGGTATATGTTTTTATTCTTATTAAAGAATAAAATGTTCATTAGTAGAAAAATATATAATAATTTTTATACATTACTAAAATAGTCTAAAATGTGTTTGAAATTATGCGAAGCATTTATAGAACTATTTGGAACATTAGTAACCATAATTTTATTCTGCTAATAATGCATCATGGGATACTTTAACATCTTTACAATAAAAACTGCCAAATATTTGATTTTTTTCAAACAAAATTTGAAATAGATTCGGAATTGCAGTAATATTATTTGTAGATGTGTAAATGCTGCATGATTAATCAAGAACCTTTCATTCATTTTAGTTATAAAAGTATCCAAGAGGGTGATAAAGAGATTTATTCTATCATATTCTTCGACTGACCATAATATTTGAACGATGGGCTTGCCCTGCTTCGAGTCGAAGTACACAAATAAATTTATTGAGCTCTGTTTTTAAATCAACAATGACATGTAAATAATAAAATTCGTCTAATTTTCTAAAGTTCCATTAATGCTATCAGCTATTCGAATAGTAGTAAAAAATTAATGTCATTTTTTGAAATATTTTATTTAGTTTTGCAGTGAAAGGTTTCATATGATTTGAGAATTAAAATCGTAGATAAATATAACGTCAGGGAAAAATTATTATTAATTAGAATAAATTAGCAGAGTATTTATTTCCGCTGTGAATGTGGTAAATAAACATAAATTCGATAAGATGTAGGAATTTATAATATTTCGAAAAATATTTTTATCGGCATGTGGATTTTTTTGCTTTGGAGGGATTTGCCCCCCTGCCCCTCCCCGCTGCAAACGCTCCTGTATACATCCAATAATAGTTATTTTCTTTCTTTATGGCTTTTTTACTTTGGATATTTTTTTTTTACTAAATCTCTTTACTAATTAGCTTTTTTATAATGATGTTGCTAATATTTCTGATATTCTACTACTGTCTGTTTTACTCAGAAGATATTATATTGTTATATAAAATTGGGTGAGGTCCTATGGATGCTGGATCAAATACTTTTTTAGATTAGTAGAGATTTGATTCAATTTAATTTTGTAACTATTTGAGATTCATTATTAATCATTTGCTGTTGTAATATGTAGAGATGTCGGAGTGTCTTCAATTGTATTCCAAAATTTGTAATTCATATTTTGAGACAAATAAATTTATATTAGGCTAAAGGAGTATAACGAGCCAACCTCTATGGCATTTTCTGTTATGGCTTTTAATTTTGCAAGAAAAATTTTAATTGATGTTCGATCAGTGAAATATGAGGGTTAGGTTTTATAAAAAATAATAGGAGGACTGATCCAACACACTATATTTTTAAAAATTATATTTATGTATGATAATTCTATAATTGATCATATTTAAATAAAGATATCAAAGTATATGTTTGTGTTTTGAATTATAATTTATGATTAGGGAAAATTTTTTTAAAAAAAGGCTAGCGTGCAGGTATATTTCATTATAATAAGAATCCATTTAGTCCGTTTTCGAAAAAAAAAAAATTGGTTTTGTTATTTTCGTAAATTAGTATTTTTGTGATCTCAATTTTTCTAAAACCAGATTCGATCAAATACTAAATTCTTTTTAATTATTGTTCCATATATTCTTATTCTAAATTTCATTTAAAAAAAAACACAAGTGATACGTTTAGAAGTTATAAATTTAACAACCGTGACGTTATTTCTGAGTTACCTGGTATTTTAGAAATTGTGAAAAATTTTGATGATTATTTTGTTCAAAGCAAAATAGTGAATTATTTTTTAGGAAGGAATAAGGTGAAAAAATAAAAATTTTTTTTGCCAATAACGTCTATAATCTGCGCTTTTTTACAAAAATTAACCATAGATAACAGACATAAAAAGACATATGACAAAGTAGTTTTAAACGTTTCCCTTCTTATTCCGCTTACCATCAGTTCCTTGTGCCCATTATGTTTTTCTTTATATTTAAAAAATTTAAATCATTATCCTATTCTTTATATCTATTTTTAAAGATTTGACGAATGGAGTAAACTATTCATCACCATACAAGAAACAAAGACGGAGTCGAACAGCATTTAGCAGTCAACAGTTATCCGCACTAGAAAAGACCTTTCAAAAAACACATTATCCAGATATATTGATAAGAGAAAGATTGGCATTATGTACGAATCTACCGGAAGCTCGTATACAGGTAAAAATAAACATATCATTATAATTTTCAAATATTATTATTCATTATATATATTATATAACGAAGAAGGGATTTAGTAAATAAGGGATATGCTATACTTCCTCATAATCCTACAATAATATTTTCTAGCTTATTAAAATGATTCGAAAATTACCGCAATTATGAATATATACTATAAAAAAAATAAACAAATCAGAGAAGTTAGCAAATGATTGGAATAAACAAAATTCTTTTGAATATATATAATACTATAAATTATAGTTTTACTGTTAGCCATATTAATTTGATCCTTTTAACTAATCAAAGTCATTGCTGAATATTTAAATTTAATGTATGACATTAAAATAGATTGGTGGTTTAGCACAAAATCTACTTAAAATATTTCATGGGGTCATTGCCCTTTAAAATTTCTGATTTGTATAATTTGCTATTTTAACCCTTGCCAAATTCCCCCAGGGTAATGAATTAGCTTGAAGAATTCAATTCTTCTAAAAAAATTTAAAAAAAAGACCTTGAGTATGTTTATTTGGTGGCTAAGACATTCGCAATATTATTTTTTAAGAGATTTTTAATTAAATGGAGATATTTTTGGATTTGCCTTTTTTAAAGATGACCATATCTCAGGAAATATATCGAGTTGGTAATTAGAGTTTTATATTAGTATATGAAAATATATATATTATCATCATACGAATATTTTTAAAAAAATCGAAAGCATATAATTGGATTTGATCATCCATATTTGACAGGTCAAATATCCAAACTAATTTTTTTGCCCAAATATTTTAGCAAAAATTCTATGACGATCAAAAAATTGAAGATTTTTTAAAAGAAGATTAAGAAAAATTTGTGATTTCACAAGAAAGATTTTTTATGCACAAAAATAACAAATGGTTTCCTTATGAAATATATATTTTTTTAAATTAAACTTTATGTAAAATTTGATTTTGTTTATACATTCTCAGAAAAATTTCCAATTAAAATAATATTGGGAGATCAAGAATCTTTGAAGATTTTTTATTTTAAAGAACATTTTAAACCCTACAAATATAATATTTATCTTAAAAAATAAAAGTTGATTCTTTTAAAAAATAATGATATTATGATAGAAATTTTTCAAAAAGAAAAGTGTAAGATACCTTATTTTTGAAAAATGAAATCCAGTTAAAGGATCAAATTTATAGGTAGAAAAAACACCCAAAATCCTCCATTAATAAAATTTTACATTTCAGGTGTGCTATAAAATTAAAATGTATTTTTTTAATCGGCATATTTCAAATAGTTAATAATTTCTGACCCCCTCCCTCCCAGAGATACCGTTTTTCGAAAATTATATTGATTCAGCTTTATTAATCTATTTTCTACTTTATGTTATAAATTTCGATTATTTTAATTATATAATTTAAATTGTTATAATATAGGTTATTATATATAATATAATTATTATTATATTTGATACTGTGAAAAATAAGCCTTGTATCAAATGCTTTTTTTTTAAACTTGTGATTTGTTTAATCAGGTTTTGTAAAAACAGAAGATTTAGTTTTTATTTGAGTTATATATTATACCAAAAAAAGTATATATAATATTCCAATTGGCATAGTAATCGTTAAATTATTGTCCAAAATGAACCTTATATACTGTATAAACATTTATCTTACTTAGCAAAAAATCTATAATTTTATTCCCATATAATATATACTCTAATTAGAACTTGAACTTATGATTTAAAGTATTGGGCTGGTAGGTATAAAATAGATTGGCCCTTTCTAGGAATTCAAAAAAAACAAAAAATTACTTTATTTTCATATTTTTTTGTCTAGACGCTGCGCCATTCAAAATATGATTTGTAAATTAATTTCAAAATTCATTGTAAAAAATTATTGATAACTATTTAAAAATTTTGATGAATATATAATAGGCTTATTTCCGTAAATATAAGAGCTACCTTAACAAAATAAACATCAACTAATGCATCTTTGATTGCTATAAATCATTTAAATTTTGATAATCAAAATAGTTATTTCGTAAAATCTATTCACCATAGGTTTTGTGAAGCAAACACTAGTATTGCTTTCTTTAGAATGAAAGATTACTAAGAAAAACTACCTTTTGGAATAAAATACCAAATCTAAAAATATAAGGCCTGGCTAGTCTTTTGAGAGGGAAACGCAAGTGGCGTTGTTACGGGACAGTGGTTTGACCTAACAATTTTTGTGCAACCCTATTTCGAAGCATAACCAGAAAAATGTTAGAGCACTCTCTTTAAGATGTTTGAACTTGAAGGATTCAAAATAAACATCCTAAAAACTAGCATTACAGAAATAAATCACAATTGGTCATATAAATATCACCGACTTAACATATATTAGCTCCTTCTTTTTAAATATGGAATTCGATGCATTGGAGTAACTAAGGGAGGGAAGGGTGGTTTTCGCAAATACCATTTTAAACCAATAAAAGTTAAATAGCCATACTCTCCTACCCACTTTCTCCTCATAAAAAATGGGTATTTGGCGAAGAAAAGTTAATAAATTTTTTAAATAATGACTATAATTAATATCATTGTTTTTTTTATAAATGATATAATTAGGCCGAAAGCAGTCCTAACCTCCTCCAATAAAATTTATAATAAAATTTATTTTAGAAAAAGTGTTGCACCTTTTTCTTTACGAAAATCTTGGATACGTTAGCGTGGTTAAAATGCGTAAAAGCCTTGTCTGAGTTGAATTATGGAAGCTATTTTTTATCATAGCATCCATTTACACATTTTTGGTCTGATTATACATATCTATATACTATATATTAATTTAGTATGTTTTCTAAATATAATAAACATAAATTGTTATATTTAAAAAAATATTCCTACTATTAATTCCATATTAAAATTAACATAAAAACTTCTATTTCGGTTTATACATTTAGGTTTGGTTCAAAAATCGCAGAGCTAAGTACAGGAAAAAACAAAAGTTATTACAAAAGGTGGATCTTAATGGCACGTACAGACATTCATACGATTCGAACCAAGAACCAAAATCGAATGAAAATATTCCCCCTGAATCTATAGATGGAAGTGATCTGGAAGAAGGGAAAAATTTAAACTACGAAAATCAAAACGGAAAAAATGATGAAAGTTTGATGCTTACAAGAAAGGAGGAAATTAAAGGCAACGATAATTTGCAATCCATAACGTGCTCACTGAGTAATAATGGTGATAGGGAGAGTGAACCTTTCCAAAATAAGAACCACCGAGATAATAATATGTTAAAACAAAAAATATCAGTTACCAATCATATAAATATTAGGCATCAATTAATTGAAGACTGCTTAGATGAGAGTTTGCCTTGCATGAATGGGACAACTTTGAAAGATAGATTAAGGACTATGTATGAAGACTGCCAAGCAGTTCCAATCTGCGATGAGCTAAAAAATAAATATACTCCAAAATTAAGAAGATTTAAGAAGAAGCAAGAAAAAGATTACGATATTCTTTGCAACAAAAACGATACTGTCAAAGATTCCAATGATAATAATAAAAATTTAATAAGTTTTAATAATGATTACGTAGAACCTCCAAGTTTTTACATGAACGATTATACGGCTTCATTAAATAACTATATGAATTATATAGGTACAACTCAAAAAAACATGTTAAATTATGGTCATATGCCTAAAGGTGAGATACCTTTGCCTTACTATAATAACTCTATGTATAATATGCCGTATTTCGTAAAATGTTCCTCAAATAACAATGAAATGTTAAAATTTCAAAGAAATGATGTAGAGATGACCCAAATTTCGGAATCCAGATTGAAGGGGTTAGAAACACAGAATTTTTATAATTTGATGAAAAGTTCTGCCCTCCCCATAAATAACGTTGCAAACGGGAATTTATCGCATTGTTTAAACACCGGACCGCTCGGTATATCCGCGGATCCTGGCGTGTATGAATATTATCAAAAGTATTACGAATATTTTCATTCGATGGCAAATCATTATTACGGGTATAATGATTTTATGAGATATTATAATTGCAATGATCACAACATTTCCAATTCTAACCTTAGTCTCAAGGTGAAAGACCCTTATGTGAGAAGTGATAGAAAAAAAATTGATTCTCATGAAACTATTTGGGACAAGGTTAATAAAAACCAACAAAAGATAGATGGAAGAGTCCCAAAGTATAATTTGGCTGCTCATACTAAAATGTTGAACAACGCGTCGCCATATTCAAAATCTCAAAATTATGATTATCCCTACCATGGTACATATCTAGAAACTAGGAAACACTTGAGTCAAACAAAATTATTAAATATCTCCTCCCGATTAAACAATTTAAAACGTAAATACCGTTTAATGTTAAGAATACGAAAAAATATCATGTTAAAAACCATGAAATTGAAAAACTTCTCAAAAAAAATAAATAAAATGTTGGATCCAAAATGTAAGCCTCATAAACATATAAACAGTGGTGGGTACAATAATCGCCCAAAAGCTCATATTCTACTGCTTTCTCAAAAATTGATCAAGATTATGGTAAGGCGGGCTTTAGAAAGGGAATTATATGGGAAAATGAGTAAAGGGTATCATAAAAACAAGACCCAAACATTTTCTACAATCCAAAAGTGTATAAATAATAGCGATAAAATTATATCAAATAGTAACAATTTTAAAGTTAGAAGTATTGCCATGTCAAGCGTCTTAAATTGCGCGACTGATAAAGTGATAGATGGCACAGACAAATTGACAAAAAAATCTTACAATATAGAAAATATATTGCATAACGTTTCCGGGTTAAAAACTAAACAACTAATTAATTTCCCTTCCAACCATAAAAAATCTATCACTACCCTAAAATTACCTTCGGAAAGAGTTCAATCTAAATTCAATTATATGAACGGCAATAGTTACAGTAAAAAGACCATTCCTCTTATTGAAAATCGAGTGAAAAATACGCCTTTGACAATTGATGAGAATCACCAAGGTTAAAAATTTTTCAATGTAATTTAATTTGGTTAATATTGTATATAAGTAGTTGATATTTTATCAGATAAATTGCAATATACAATTTAAATTTTAAAATGCATTGTTGTATTTTGAGACTGATTCTAAAATCAAACAAAAAGGTTTTCCTAAATTAAATTAAATTATTCCTTTCGTCCCCTAAATTTTTCTTATTACATTTTTATACATAGCTAAATAAAATTATTCCTTCAATAGCACCATTCTTAAACATCCAACTTCAATTAGTAATTTTTATTCTATTTAAAAAAGATTTTTATGACTATCAAAATTATTTTAGATCGATTTATCAATAGTTTATATCATATTTCATGTAATCTACTTTACTCTATGAAAATTCCCTCCTTTTCCACATCTCCGCTCTTTTAAAAATTAGATTGTTTTAATATTTAAATCAGAGACATAAAGAGGCGCCATTTCACGGCCTGGGCCGGATTTTATTTTTCAAAAAATTTTTCGGCCTGGTTTTTATATTCTCAAGCGTGGCCCGAATTTTTACAGCTAATAATGGCGATTTAAAATATTTGGTTTTAAAATATACGACCCTGCCCGGGTATATTTAAATAAATTATACTATAGGCCGGGCTTAGGGCCATGCCTGCAAGTCTCTGATATAAATAGTAAAATTTATGAATGAATATTAAAAAATATTGATTATTATAGAGTATTAAATAATAATAAAAAAAGATATAAGTAATAAATCACGCTGTTTTAGCATGGATTTTCATAAGGGAGGAGGGGTTGTTTTTTCACAATAAATTTTATAATATTTTTTTGGTCCCCTATTTGAAGAACTTTGGCTGGATTAGATTTTAAAAAATATAATTTTGGATTTTTATTTTTTTAAAATTTATAGTGTTTGTGAACATCATTTTAAGCTAGTAAAAAAAAATTCCCCTAACACCCCCCCCCCTCCCTTTTCATCTCCCCCCAAAATGGATGCAATTTGTAATTATATTTCACATTTTTTAAAAAATAGGCAGAAGTTAATAATTTTCTAAAATAATGACATAGATAATTTTGTTCTTAAAAACGATATTTTTTAAATGTAATTCGACCAAAGTTTTCCATGGTAAAAAACTACCTAAACACACCTCCCCCCTAAGATAACCTTATATATTCCAATGCATAGATGCTTATTGTAATAGGAAATATAGTATTTAACCCATTATATCCTCTTTCCTATAATAATGAAAATATTTAATTTTATTAGCAGGATTTTTGAATTTACCTATAATTTATATTTAAAATGTTACAAACATAATTTAAAATTAACAATAGGAATATAAATGTAAGGGGAGACCGGGGATAAGTGGCAGATACAAGATTTAAAAACTGTATTTGATCGAATAAATTTAATAATATAAATGTGTAGCCTAAACATTAATCCATAAAATCAATGCTATATCTATATTAGTTTTTTGATTAGAATATATATTTCGTTTAAACAATCTTCATGAATTAAAGATATAGAATGTATTAATAAACTTATGTAAACCAAACCCGGCTGTTATTTTTATCTGATCCCGAATCCGAGCCTAAACCCAAAATGATATTTCTTTTGGTTCAGGTTCTGGCTTAAATTAATGATGATTATTATTTATACATTTTAAAAACCTATCATTATACAAATATTTTAAATATTATTATTAAAGAGGTATATGTTTTAACATTTAAAAAAAACATCTTAACTTAAAGTATTTTCCATTTATCATTATTAAATGGTTCCTTATATAGGTCGAATAAAGCATTTAAATTCTAATTTCTGGAAATATAGCTTTAAATGTAAGGATTATCCCATATTTAAAATTTGAAGGCGTAAATACTTCAACAGACAAAAAAATGAATGTACAAGGAAATTTTGGTTCAACAGAGTATACTAAAAACGTATGTTTTGCATATTTTTTTTATTAGATGAATCAATCAAATAATTGAACATAGCTAGGGTAAAATTTTCGAATAAAATTATTCTATAGATAAGAAATTATAAGGAATGACCACTTATTTCTGGTGTCCCCTATTAAAATATCTAACGCCATTTAGTTTTAAAGTAAATGATTGATTTGATTTTATTCATTTAAGATATGAGCAGTGAGCAGCATTTATATTTATATTATTAATTTATATTACTGTTTATAACATTTTTTTAAATTATAGTTAATTAAAAAAAAATATGCTCATAAATTTAAATATTTTTAAGACAATATGATGGATATATTATGAATACTACATTCTTTATTAAGTGTAAACTTTATGAAATATACTATTCTCTATTCCAAAAAGCATGTATAAGAACTAACTAAAAATTCTATCTGGTATAAATCTTTTTTGCCTTAATATTCATATGCATATTATAAATCTATGTATTTTCGTTGGTTTGATAGATCAGAATGCAGGCAGCTGCCCATCAGGTGTATATCTAGAGAATTAAAAGTAATCACCCCGAAAAATAATATTCCTTAAACTCATAATTATTGTGATATTTTATAAAAATAAAAACAATTCATAGGATTGATTGAATCTTTCATACTTATATTTAAAATGGTATATTATGTAAACATTTAGGCAACTTTTATATCAATTTCCATCATTTTATACTAATTAATTTTATAATTTTAAAAATATATTAGTAACAAAAATATATAAATACTTAACATATCCCGCCTAAAGCACTCCTTATTTCCAATAAAATTAATATTATATTGAATATTAAAAATGTATTTTATGGCGTATTTTCAATTCACACTTCTTAAATAGTCTTTTCATTAAAATAACGAAAAAACTAATTTTCATTCATTTCTCCTTATATATAATTAAAACCTATAAATTTCACTTTTCAACAAAGTGATTGTTTTTTTTATACTTTTTATACTCATCCTTTACTTATTAAGAAGGTTATATAAACATCTTTAATGCATTTTTAAAAAATGAATTTTTTAATTTAAATGATAAGTCTTAAAGGCTAAACGTTTAGTTTTAAAATATTATATAATCATGGTTGTAACTCCAGTATATTTATTTTCAATAGTTAAAAGGTTAGTGAAATCTTTTCTTATATAAATATAATAAATCAAGCATATAATAAATGGAATCACATTTTTATTTCAATTTAGTTTCTAACGACATTTCTTTCCTTATATAAATATTTTTTAGACATAACAACTTACTTTCCAATAAGCCTTTCGACTAATGGCAATGCTCCCCCAAACCCTTCATTAATAGGGGCAGCTAAGGTTGCTATAACATCAAAAATGTCTCCTCGTTACTCTAGTGTTTCTCAAAATGACGTTTTATCTAAATATAACCACAATGGGTTAATGCCCAACAAACGAAAATACACAGTTCCTAAACCAATAAAAAACATTCCTAACTATCAAAATGTTTGTACAAAAGATATTCTCAAGCCTAAATTATCCCCAAATCCTCCATTTAACAATGTTCATTCCGATTTAGAAAGTGATGTGTTTAAATATTACCGTGATTATCAAATGATGTATGTTAAAAAATTTATGCCACAACCTCATAGATGATTAAATAAATGATACTTTTAATACTTTAAAACGAGAATTATATAGATTTTTTTAGCATATTATAAAAGTAGAGAAATTATAGACATATTAATATAATTTGATATTTTCGCCGTGACATTTATAGTATAATTGTAAAAACTATTAAAAGTGCAATCATGTTGGGGAAAAAAACTTGTTATAATCGGGAAAAAATTCATGATCGCGAATTTTATGATATATGCTCGTTATGAATATTATATACCTTTTATATGATATTTATCTTGATTCTTTATCTATAATATTTAATGATTATAAGCTTTTGAAAAAATAATAATTTTATTAAACTAATTTAATATTTATTTATATTATTACAAATAAAGATTTAATGTTAAAATCCATAGCATTAATAAATTACTTAACAAAAAACCAGTATATTTTAATTCATTAACAATACTAACAGATTTTGGAATCCAAATATATCATAAATATATCATTTAAAGATAGACTAGAGATATTATACCAAACAAAAGCATTATATTGAATTAAGTCATTTCTTTTAAATATTTAGAATATACATACTTTATCGTATTAAATCCAAGATAAGACTAACCGGGGGGGGGGGGTCTTTACCTTCAGAAGGCTAATAAAAATATACTCCTTAGCCCCTCTCCACCCACTGTCCCCTAAATTATATGCATATATCATAAACAATAGTTTGAAAGAAAGAATGATTTTATACAAATTAATAAAAATATATTTCATATTTGTTCCAAACTTAGCTTATTTTTTGATACCATCTTGGTAACCAATTTTGTAAATTTAAATAATTATAATAAGTTCCTTTTATTAAATTTAAACTCCTAATATTTTCTAGGCAACTACCATATTCTTTTAATGGTAAAAGTCACCAAACAAACGAATAATACAATACGAAATCTTTTAAAAGGTGAAATATAGATACCTAGAGTGCAAATTTTATACAAACTTTGATTTGGGCTTAATTATTTATAAAGTAAATCAGAAAAGTTATATTAGACAAGCTTGAAATGACAATTATCAGGGTTAAAGAAGGAGGTTTATGAAATATAATTTTTAACATGGAAAGAAATATAAATTATTCCTCAAAATCTGTCATCAGACGAGGGATTCAATATGAATATAATAACTAGAGTATCAAAACTTTTGATATACCGGTTCGTAAGGTTCCAGTAAAACAATTATAAAGGGTTTGGTTTAGGTTAATAGTGATAATTTTATAAAGATTCAGGGTTCAAAAATATTTAATTTATGGTTCAATAGTTATCTTGAAAAAATCAGTGTATCCAATATAGCCGTAAATAATTTTTTATACGTAGAGTATGAATAAATTGTAGTGCTGAAAAACATCATGACAATTGTAGTTGGGATAGATATTGCTGTAATAGAGGTATGGTTAATCTAATTTCTTACCATCCTAATATCTAACATGCGTGTGTGTTTTTGTTAATCCGTCCGCTGGAATTAAACTTATTGTATATATTTCTACCTATTAATAACCCTTCATCTGCATAAGTCCCATTAATTTTACTTTTTTCTTCCATCTGTAATAAGGTTTAAAAGTATCCTCGGGGTACTATTTTTCCTTTATCCGATAATGAACAGTGTTTTGTATTAACACTTAACCAGGCTTCGTTAATTTACGCTAAAATCAAGAGATAATCAGCAAGCCACAATTAGTTCACCCACGAGATCTATAGAATTTGGGATGGTATTGCTCTATGAACTGAGAAATGGAATGACAAAACACAATCAAACACTTTATTAGATTAGAAGAGGATTCTTCGATAATAAACGAGTCGAGAGCAAAAATTTAAATTGGGATAAAATTTGTTTAGAGCTATATCCTAAACCCTCTGGAATAACATCGAGGTGGGCTTGGAAAATAGGCAATTATGATTTTGAAATAAGATATAAGATAAAGTGTACACATATTCTCTATCAAGGGTACCTTTAAATGTTATAAAAACAAATAAAGTAGCCGATCACGTTCAAAAATTTGGTTAATAACAATATGGCATTGATAAAAACGATTAAAGTAGATGAGACATAAAGATAAGATTCTAAATAAGTTCAGAAACTTCATGGGTAGGTTTTAGATAGGATTTGATTCATATTTGGATTAAGAACTGTAACCTATCACAAAAAGACGTTTAAATTAACCCTAGAAAATGGTATATTATACACCTCTAAATGATAGAAGATTTAGAGACAAACCATCTCCCCGCAAAACCTACCCATTTTAATTTCTATAAGTATTTGATGTAATTACGGTAGACCGTGGTATCTTCATGGTGCGTGGCATTTTCCGACAATATTTTATTATGTGGCAATGATAAAAAAGAATTGGGTGGCAACTAAAAAAAATTGCGCAAGTTATTTTGAAATTTGGGATAAGTGTAAGTTGAATAAAATGCATATATGGTCTGTAAGTATCCATTAAATATGAATAACTTCATGAAGTAGATGATTGATTAGGAACTGGATGTGGTTGTATTTAGATATTTTTAGCAAGTGCGTTAATAGACTTTCCAATTTTCGGGGTTCAAGGGGCGCTAATTTTTTTGCTTCTTATCATTTTAAGAAATTATTTGCTAAGACTGTATCAGAAACTTGAGTTTTTGAAAACTTTTTAAAAACGTTTTAATCACATTTTTTATTTCCTGTTTCAAAAAAGGCTATCTATTGTTTTCCGATAAAGTTTTCTAAATATAAAATACCACACACTGAAAATAAATTTATGATATTCACATAATTTTTTTCTATCCAGATAAAAATATATGGAAATAATGTATAAATCAAAATTTTTTATTTTATTTTGTAGGTAAAATAAACTCATAACATCTACAAGGCTAAACATATTTATCAATAATAGAATCCATACAAATAAAATTTGATAAAGCAAGTTCTATGTTTTTAATAGACTATCCAATAGTTCCTGAATAATTTAAATTTACATATATTTTCTTATATGTTTTCAAAATGATCTCTCGCATGCACCTCCAATAGAACCCCCCCCCCCCCCCCCACTTCCTTGTAATGGAGCTATTTCTGGGTGGACATTATAGAGTTATGGCCAATTTATGTGAAAGAACTAAATTTTTTAGGGAAAGTGGAGAAATATAGTCGGAATCCTAATAGATAAAGGTAGGGATGCAAACCGAACCCGAACCCGGAGAAGAAAACTCCGGTTTTGGGGAAAAATCTGAACCCCCCGAACCTGAACCCCGTTTATAAAATTTTCCAACCTTCAAACCGAACCCGGGAATTTTATTTGACCCCGGGTTGAACCGGGTTCAGTGTATTGTTTAAAATCATATATTAAGATATTTGTATAATTGTGACGCAAATAAAGAATAATTGCGCTAAAAAGAATCGGTAGTAGAATAAGAATATGTAAGTCTGGTTGCGCTAAAACGAATAAGTAATAGGATAAGAATATGTAAGTCTGGTTTCGTTTGCTTTAGAATAAATAATAACGATATCTCCAAATAATAATAAAATTCGGATTAAATTTATTCTTTTATTAGTGTTTAAATAAAACGCAAATATATATATATCAAGTCGTTAAAAAAGTAATTTTTATTAACAAGTAAAATTATCGCGTGTTTAGAAAGTCAAAAACTTCAAATATATATATATATCTAGTAAATCAATTTAAGGTAAATCAATTGATGGTTTGAGGCTTCGTATGTAGAAATAAAATAATATATTATTTAGTGAATGTTTTTGTATATGTAAATAGTCATAGTTTAAAGCTTCAATTAACTTTGTATATTATGATATTAAATTATATTATGCAACATGCACCTCCTCAAAAAAAAACAAAAAAAATATATAAACTAAAATTTATAATATAGGGAATAGGAGCTCGCTTGGCATGCGGGAGGTAATTTAGATTTACTTATAAGAAGAAAATAATAACAATAATGCAATAGGGGCTATAACAAACTTTGACCTTAAAATACAAATTGGTTAATCAAGTGGAAAAACATAGGGTAATAATGAGGGGACGGATTATGTATTATATTGATTTGAAAATATATGTATAATGGGGAAATGGCACCATAATTGTCCATGATAGTTTTTTATGTAATTACCCTTAACAAAAGGTATAGATTACACTATCTATAGGTACAATTAACACTATAGGTGTCCAATAATCAATCAATATACGTGGAATAAAATTCATATAATGAAGAAAATTACTAATGGGGAAATGGCACCATAGTTGTACATGATAGTTTTTTATGTAATTATCCTAACAAAGGTATAGATTACACTATCCATAGGTACAATTAACACTATCGGTGGCCAATCATCACTAAATATATTTGGAATAAAAATTAATATAAAGAATTGGTTAATTAAATGGGACAACATAGGGTAATAATGAGGGGACGGGTTAAGTATTATATTGATTTGAAAATATATGTATAATGGGGAAATGATACTGTTATTGTGTAATTAACAGCTGATAATAGGGAAAGACTGGGAAGGGGTTAACACATGTATGTATAATGGAGAAATGGTACTGTTATTGTATATAAACAGCGGATAATAGGGGAAAGACTGGGAAGGGGTTAACATATCATATATGTATTTACAATTTATTGTAATGTTTTTATATTAAAACTATAAGTGACAGTCACAAATTTCTGATTTGATCAATGTGCGCTAGCACCACCTTATCTATTTTTATTTCCCAATTAACATTACTGATTCTCCCAATAACAATCCCTACACGCCATTCTTGACTGACGCCTACTTTGACAAAAACAGAGTTGCCAAATGTTAATTCTCTGAACTTTATTCTTTTTATTTTAGGTCGTATATCACAGTCACTGTCCTACAAAAAACTCCATTTCCATCTTAGTTCCTGCCGAATAATCTAAAAGCAGGTGAAGTTTTGGTTGCCGAATATGTGGTATTGCGATAATTTAATAACACCTCTTCCAATAACCTATCATCCCTACCACCTAATTTATAAATCATATCCTTAGCTGAGCGTACCGCTCTTTCAGCCATAACATTTGAAGACGGATGGTATGCAGGAGTAAATATATGTGTTATACCCTTTTTTAATAGAAAATTTTTAAAATCATACGACCTAAAAGCTGGTCCATTATCAGAAACCAACTCTACGTGGTAACCAAATCTAGAAAAAATATTATTTAATACCATGATAGTGGTATTAGTAGTAATTATTTTAACCTTGATAATCTCAAGCCATCGAGAGTACCCATCAATTATTACTAATCCATAATAATTCTTAATGGGTCCAAAAAAATCAATAAAAACACGATACCAGGGTCTGTTCGGATCTACCCAATGATTATTTCTAACCTTTGGTAATTTTGGAGCATTTACCATACACATATTACACCTAAAAACAATTTCCTTGATGTCTCTTTTAACCCCGGGCCACCAAAAATATCTTTCCATAATATCAATCATCCTAGACAAACCTATATGTCCCTCATGAAAAACATTTAGAATCTCTTTTCTTAGCGATTGGGGAATAACAATCTGCTCTCCCTTAAAAATACAATCATTTTTAATAAACAACAACTTACCTAGCTCCATATATACTTTAATCTGTGTGAAATCTCCCACTTCATTTAAAATAAATTATTTAACTTTGATAAGTTCTAAATCTTCCACAGTCTCTCTTCTTATCATATCTAAATTATTCAAAATTCTCTGGTCACTTAAATCATTATCAATATTAAAAAAATAAATAACATCTTCCTTAATTAACCTAGATAAACCATCAGCAATAAATTGATCTTTACCCCTCCTGTAATTAATGTCGAAATCAAACCCGGCTAAACAAAAAGCCCATTTCTGTAGCCTTGGCGACATATTGTAAAGTTTAACCGGATCTGTTCCAAACAAATTAACTAGAGGTTTATGATCCGTAAAAATTTTAAAATTCCTCCCTACTACATATTCCCTCCATTTCTTAACAGCCACAACAACCGACAATCCTTCTTTCTCAATAATCGAATATCTTTTCTCAGCACCCGTCCATGCTTTTGACATAAACTCAATCGGCCTTTCAAGACCATCCTCTTCAACATGAAATAAAACAGCACCCATACCTTTATTAGAAGCATCAGTAGATATATAAATTTTTTACTTCTGTCATAATGTGCGAGAATTGGTGCATTGCACAATCTTTCTCTAATCTCATCAAAACTAGTTTTTCCATTAATTCCCCAATGAAAATTTTTACCCTTTTTAAGCAATTCATATAAATTAGATTGCAATTTAGAAAAACCTTCTATGAACCTTGAATAATAATTCATCAGACCCAACCACGAATGCAATTCTTCCTTACTCTTAGGTTCAGTCATGGTACTTATCGGATCAATATTTTCTTTAATTGGCTGTATACCTTTGTAACTTATCAAATAACCTAAATACTTAATACTCTCTTTGCAAAATTCACTTTTTTTTATATTTCCAATCAAACCAAAATCCATCATTCTTTGAAATACCTTTTTCAATTTATTAAAATGATCTTCCTTATCCTTACCAAAAATTAATAAATCATCTAAATAATACATAACCCCGTTAATGTCAGCAAAAATTTCATCCATGGTCTTTTGGAAATAAGAAGTCGACACTGTAAGTCCAAAAGGTAATCTATTAAATTGAAAAAGACCTTTATGGGTTGAAACGGTTAAAAATTTGGAAGTTTCTTTAGAAATAGGTATTTGCAAATAAGCCGAGGAAAAGTCAATTTTTGAAAATAATCTGCCTTTTCCGACTTTAGCAATAATGTCACTTATCCTTGGCAGCGGATATTCAAACCTTTCTAACTGTGGATTAACAGTGACCCTAAAGTCAGCATAAACTCTCAAAGCATTATTCTTCTTTTTAACCAAAACTAATGGTGTCGCCCATTGGGAAAATATAACAGGGGTTATTATGCCCTGTTGACACCATTGTTCTAGAATGTTACCTAACTCTTCTTCTAATTCAAACGGTACTCTCCTGGCCTTCAAAAATCTTGGTTTAAAATCATCTTTTAACAAAATATTTATTTTTAAATGTTTTACTTTGCCTATTTTATTATTAAAAACACAATCAAACCTTTTAACTAAATTATCAATATCATAATTAAAATCATAACAATTTTTTTTAATAAACATTGACTGAATAACCAAATTCCCTCTATCAAATCTGTCATTATTTTTACAAGGATTGTTAAAAGTTACTTACCCTATCTCCTAACTCTTTAGTATTAAAATCAAAATTGAATCTAATCAAATCAAATTCTTGATCCAATCTAGACCACATAAAGGTGGTCCCTCCCCTTCCAAAACATAAAAATCTAAATATTTAATCGTATTTAGAAATTTGACCTTACAATTAATAACTTTACCAATGAACGAGAATAATTTCTTTGAACAATTTTTCAACTCCACATCTTCATCCTTCGCAAGCTTTTCAAACTCTTTCATGGGCAAGGATGACACCCGAGAACCAGTATCTATCATCAACTTTTTTAAAATTTACTAACCCTAAATAATTATTCTGAATGTCATTTATTATATTTTGCATACAAAATAAACTAGCATATAAAATTAATATTTTTTAATAGAAAATCTATTTAATACAGTATAAAATTTTTTCGATTGTTGATATGAAATGATTTTGCGGCTAAAAAATAATAAATGATAAAAAAGGATAATTAATTCATATATGCCTCAATTGATAATAGTTTGTGAAAACTACATAATATATTATAATTCTTAGCAACTTACATTGACAAAAGGTCATGAAACTAATATAACTCCCTATTAACATTTTAGACAGTGTTTTATAGAATGGACTAATAAGAAAAAATTTATAGACCTTACCAAATCTACAATTCTTGAAGAAGAGAATATAAACGACCAATCCAAATCATAAAACTATATGGTGGTTAGAGCTTCCTCTTAGATGACGAGATGATATTAAATTTCTAAAAGATTATCTTCTATTTTTGTTATATAAACGACTACACAGTTGACCTATTGCTTATTTAAAATATGCGATCATATGCTCTCACTCTCAGCAGCTGTAGTAATGATCTTAAATTACATAGCCACACAAATAATAGATGTTGGTTAATTTGCAGTCCTATGCATGACACTCACGATGGTAACCCATCACAATTTATTCTGTTAGATAAATTGATACAACAAAAACATTAAAACCTTTAGAAGAAATTATGCAAATATATTGAAGCCTTGAGTTATTTACACGGCAAGGGTACCATATTAGAAATGAAACATTTTGTAACTACAAAAAAAGAACCAGAGTAATATCGTGAAAGCAATTAAGATTTTATATATTATTGTCGCACCATCTCTAGTAGGTATATTATATCTTAAAATAATAGTAGTTTGTAATAATATCAAAAATATATTTGTATCAAAGATTTAACTCAAATCTATTTTTCGAAAAAGAAAAATATAGCTTTCCTAAAAACACGTAAAAAAGAGAAGAAAAGATATCTAATTTATTACATCTATTGTGGGATGAATAATAATACGTTTATTTTTAAATATATTTTAAATAAATAGATGGCGTTAAATGTATGTAAGCAAATTGTTACATATATTTATTATCAAAAGCATTTATTAGTAAAATTTAAAAAATATTAACTGAAATATATTATATAACTGTTAGATAAGTTTGTAAAAGTGGCATTTACCTAATATTTTATAAAAAATTATATAAATAGAGCATTATAAACTATATGTTTACTTACTTTTTGTAAATAAATCTCATATACTTATTTGGATTTGGACCTTGAAAATAATTTTAAGAAGAGGCATATTAACTAAATTTAAATATTAATAATATAGATGATTAGTGATTTTGAACTCGGCTAATAACAATATTAAATTTGTTAATTTTCAATTAATATTTATTTAATTAGGGTTATATAATAATTTAAATAATAAAAGTCAATAAAGCTTCAACTGATAATGCTAAATTAATATTTAGTGAGTGATATTAATATTCTTTAACACAGATTTTGATTGCAAACTGACATTATAAATTATATGTAATAATCTAATCTAATAATTAAAATAGTATTCATTTAATAAAAATTAAGATAGTCTTATTAATTTTTTAATAAAATTAAATCTATATATTACTCAATAGAATTATAAAAGAAATTATTCGAAGGGCAATTAAAAATTTATTTTTAGCTCAAGGAGATATTAAGGAGCCATTAAAAAAAAATTTTTTTGCTTCAGGGGGCTATTCAAATTTTTCAGGGCTCAAGCCTCTGCGCTCCCCCCTAGCGACGTCACTGTTTAACATTGCTTAACTCTGAATATTTTTTATTTCCGCCACCGGAGAGTTTTGTAGGTGTTAGATTTTGTGATTATGTCTATATAAATTAAACCTAAGCTAGATGGATACCCTTTTCCTGTAATTAAGATTAAACCATCTGACTAATTGGCACTCACTTCTATTATATTGCTTGATGTATATTATTTAATACAATGCATTTTATCTAACTACACATTTTGTGGAGTAATTTTAAATTTAAAGATCCAGTAAATTCATGAATTCTAATAAGAAGCCTCTAAATGTTTGGTGTGATGGATGGTAAAATTTAATAAACTTTTAAATTATATTTTCTATAAGCTATGATATGGTTCATTTTGGGCATGCTAATCAATTACGCCAAGCTAAGCATATGGGTGATTATTTAATAGTTGGTGTTCATAGTGATGGTAAAAATAAGTAATATTTCAAAATTCATTTAAAATATAGAGGAAATCACAAAACACAAAGGCCCACCTGTTTTTAATGAAGAAGAAAGATATAAAATGGTAAAGGCAATTAAATGGGTTGACGAGGTAATGTAAATATATGATTTACATATATGTATTATAATAAAGATTGTAGAGAATGCACCATATATCACAACACTCGAAACTCTTAATAAATATGGATGCCAATTTTGTGTCCATGGAGGTTTAGTTATTAATATTTTATTATGCGATAATTTTTATCAAAGATAAGACCTTTTTAAACAATATTAATGGTATCAACCCAAATATAATTAAATAACCTAGAACATTGGGCCCTTTAGTCCAACACATAGGTCAGGCCAATGTTAGCAGCATGCCTAGTTCAAAGCTTGAAAAATATTAATGTAATATTTCCTTTCTATTCTTATTTTTTCTGGATTGATTATTGAATAAGAAAAATTTCAAAAATAATCAGAAATTAGGAGATATTTATTATATATTTTCTAATAAATATTAAAATAGATAAAACATCATTAAATCATTAAAGTTATTGCTAAATATTTAAATTTAATGCATAGCATTAAAATGGAGAATAAAATCAATATCTTAAGTTGAAATTTCTTCCCAATTGCCTTTTTTGAGCAACAATTTTGGCCACCAGACTCGGGGTGAGGTCTTAATGAGAAAAAAACAGATATATTTCATCAATATTATCATAATAGATAATATAGATTAATATTATTTTCTTTTTTATCAACTGAGAAATGTTTTTATAAATTCATTGCATAAAGTTTCTAAATTCTTTTTTTTATTTATAAAGGCTACAGAGTTTGAAATGTTTCAAAATAAAGAAATCTTATAAAAATTTTAATTTTTGAATATATTTTAAAAGAAAAATTTATTAAGAATGCTCAAACAAGTTTTTTAATCAAATTTTGCCTAAAATTCGAAATCTTTTTTATAAGTGATATTTGTAATTTTTATGCATATAACAATCAAAATTTAGATAACGATTTTGAACTTTAAAAAATTTAATTTTCTGATTTTTTTTCTCAAAATTTTATGCAAAAATAATCTTCGCAATATCTTGTAAGATTTTTCCAAATTTTTGTCATTTTTGAGTATTAGTTAAAGTATTGGGCAATACTGATACCATGAGTATCAATTCAATATCGATACTGATATCAATGCATCTCTGATTATTTTCACTTAGGCCTAACATGTTACCACAAATTTATATTTTTATTATAAACATTATAATATAAATTTAATGATTTTTATCAATAGATGATATAACCTTGACTTCAGATGGGGTGGACACTTATCATATAGTAAAGGCTGCAAACAGATATAAGTAAGAATGAATTATTAATCCTTTTATTAATTGATGCTATTGTAATATTTTAAATTAATCATTTCAAATTATTAAGGAATTTTATATGTCTTAAATTTAATCATATTTGTTTATATGATAACATTTTATTAACTAATTTATTAGAGAATGCAGTAGAACACAAGGAATTTCCACTACTGATTTAGTTGGAAGGTACAAATTATTTTTAATAGAATAAATTGATTTTACTATTAAATAAGTGAGTACACTATATAATAATTTAATAATTCTCTCATATTTAGAATGTTATTGTTGACTAAAACCCATCACGAAAGGGATGACGAAATTAGTTTGCACAAAGAAAATACCAATAACATAGGAAAAGTTAGTTACAACATTATATAAAAAATTTTTCATGAATGAGTTGTAAGATTAGCATTACACACTTAGTCTGCTTCTCCAAAAAATATTGTCTTCCAAATAATTAAAAATTAGCATTGGCGTACGCAGCGGGGGAGAGGGACAGGGGAACAAATCCCCCCCCCCCCCTTAAAGCCAAAAAATGCAGATGCCGGATTATATTTTTCAAAAATATTATTTGTTAATATTAATTTATATTTGTTAATATTTATTCCTATCTCATATATATATATATTTAATTACATTTATTTATCACATTCATCTACTAAGTTATTTTATCAATTAATTTCGATCTTAAGTTTTCCTTGGCGTAATTTACCTATTATTTAAAAATTTTAGTGGCGTAATATTTATCTAAATTTCTAGTCAAATAATAATTATCTCTGTAACTCCTTGTCCCTCAGGGAGAAAGAAATTGCAAGCTTGTTCAACGAGATCGAATCTCCGCCATCAAGCAGTAACAGCTTTTATGGAGTTAGAAGAGCCGATTATTAATGCTATTACTGAAATATCACAATGGCTTGAAAGAAATATTTCCTCAGAAGCAAAATTATTGGATTCAATACTTATTCCAAATTTTTTTCTCATTAGAATGTATTATTTAATTATACAACTACTTTATGTAATACTTTTCAAGAACATAACATTGACTTGATTAAGAAGATGAGAATAGCGGAGAGCATTTTATTAGAACTCAAGGAAATTAGAGCTAATGTTGATGAAGAATTTTATATGTTATTGTTGAGTCAAAAGCAAAGGTATACGTGTTTAATATTTGTCCCCCTCGACTTGCAGCAAGCAAGCTCATCGTCAAAACATTAATATAGGATCAGTAGAAGAATATTATAAAACAAATGTCCCCTCTCCCAACCTTTTTCATATGGTGATAGAAAAAAATATAAATATTTGTTAGATTCTTATCATGAAGATGTTAAAATATCTTATGATGCCTTAGCTGAATAACTATGATTTAAAGATTAACTATGGTTGATACAGTCCCAAAAAATGCTATGGATGCTTTGCATTATTTTAAACACATTTTAGATTATACTCTCAATGTATTAAAATGGTTATATATATTAGCAGCTCTTTAGTAAACTAATGAGAGAACATTCTCTTTTTTAGGAAGAATAACAGAGCCTTGCAGAGGTACTATTTGCAGGACACGGCCCAGATTTTTTAAAAAAAATTTTCCGGCCCAGGTTTTTTTTAAAAATATTTATCAGGCCCGGCCCGAATTTTTTTAAAATAAATTATATTTACTTTTGATTTTTATAGCTAATAATGGCGATTTATTTGGTTTTAAAATATACATCTCGGCCCGGATATTTTTTCTAAAAAAATTTTGAGGCCCGGCCCGGGTGTTTTTTTTAAAAAATTACGGGCCCCGCCCGGGTATATTTAAAAAATTAAAATACGGTCCGGCTCGGGAGGCGGACCTGCAAGTCTGTGAAAAACATACCTATGAAATACAACATCTGAAAGTAGATTGAACGATTTGGATCTTATGAATATTCATAGGCATTTAACGCTAAGCAAGGATAGATAATTGAAAAATTAGCTCAAAACATACAAAATACAATTATTCTTAAGAAACTTTTTGTGTATTAATTTATATTTCCAACATTTAAATTTTTTATACTTCATATATTTTAATTTAAAAGCTCAAAAAATTCAAATTTCAATTTTGGGTCATTTAAGTGATTCATATCGTGGGTTATATTCACTTTATATTTTATAATTCACATTTATTTTATAGTTTTTCAATGCCGGTTTATATATGTAATTTTTTTTAATTCACATTAGTTTAAAATTGTGTATTAGAAAAGTTATTAGTACTAATAAATTTATGCTTAGTATTTTTAATTAATAATATTTCTTAAAAAATTTTATCCCCCCCCCCCCCCCCAGACCAAATTCCTGCGTACGCGCCTGAAAATTAGGTTCGAGTTCATACAGGACTGTTTAATAATATTTAGGAAAGCTTATAATTTTTTAATGTAATAAAATAATTAGAATAATAAGATTTAGCAGATTTAAAATAAATCCGAATCCTTCTGATTTTTTAAAATTATAATATTTCTATCCAATTTAAAAAAAATAAATATATGCATTAAGTTCACCCAGTTCATTTTTACAGAAATCTGTTGATTATCATGATGGACTTTTCTATGAAATACTGATATCTGCATTGTTAATGATTATAGAATTTAAAAATATACACTTTATAAAAATATTACAAAGTTACAAATATAAAAATATATCATTAATCTGTGAACCCTAATTAGGGTTCAGAAATTTGAAAATTGTTTGGTTGGCCATTGAAACCACAAAACAAGGACCAATTTATAGACAAAGCATCAAACCCAGGGTAAAATAAATTAGGGGAGGATTCGAACCCCTCTCAGAAAATTCGTTTCGATTAAATTTCAGCTAAATGGAATTTAAATTCCTGAACCCTAATTAAGGTACATATTACCATTTTTTTTTATTAATAAAATTTATAAAAGTAAATTAAAAAGAATTACAAAAACTTTTCTTTCTTAAAGGTTTAAATCATCTTGATTCCTTCTTTAGTTAATTACCATTCTTTGGGTTAGGTTGAAATTGAAAGTATCTGCCTATACCATGAATACCGATGCATTTCTGGCTTTTAGCAGAATCCTGTTTGTATTTTAAGTAGCCTATATGTTGATCAAGGTTTGCGAAATTAATTAAAATGTTACTAACATGTTTTTTATGAATAATATTTTAAACATAAAAATATTTTGACAGTTTATAATTGCAAACTTTATTTTTTAATATCTCAAATTTTTACCAAAATGATTCTTTCGCCATGTTTTTAAGTTCAACTTATAATTTTTTAAAAATAGTGGTGTGGATTATATGAATATTTTATTTATATTATCCACAAACGAAATATTTTTTAAGGATTTATGTTTTTAAAAAAAAATAATATATTAACTTTTTTTAAAATTAATTTAGATAATAATTAGATAAATTATATTTATTTATCTTTTTCTTTTTTTAGTAACCAATATTTGTTTATTGGGAGGGTCTGTTTTTAAATTTCTCAGCACACTTAATAAAACGTTGGATCGACTTGATGAGTCGGTTTGCCTTAATAAAATTAATTGTTATATTATTTTATAAAAATTAAAAAATTTTATGTTTATAATCTTACTCGCTAGATCATCTTTCACACCATTTAACCTAATTATATTATTTTTTACCAAAAAAATTGCAAATATTTGATACAGGTGTACCAAAAATGCTGTAAAATATTGCTTGAAAGTTATATATATATTTTTTTTATAATTTTATGTTTCAATTGCTTTAAGAATAAGTTGTTATAATAATAAAATAAAATACCCTACAACATTTTTTTTGGCATTGCTTACTTGCAATGATGTTCAGAATTATATTCTTTGGAGGCCTCAACTTTTTTATCTTTCCAAATTTTTTTATTTTCCTTGTGGCAATTGCTGTGAAGATAAGTTGTTAAAATGATAAAATTAAATATCCTTTTTTTTTGATAATTTTATTAGAGATACAATGAAAGAGGGAATATTTTTTTACTAGATGTTACATAAAACAAAATAAAATGATCTTATCTTATTATTTTTATTATACTTAAACATTAATCTATGTTAAAGAAATTTTAAATGACACTTAAAAAAAATTTTTTTAGTAAAAAATTGATTAATTTTTACATAAAAATATATAAGTCATCATATCTTTTCTTTTGCTTAGTTAAAGATATTTTACGTAGAATAATTTATAATACTAAAATATTCATTTTAGTTATTAAATCTTAGTCAAAATCTTTTATTTTTGAAACTAATGTTTCTTTTTAAAAAAAAAATTTTTTTTCCTACACTTTATTTTATCGTATTTGATATATAAATTTAATTTAATATTTTATTCAATTTATAAATACACATAAACATTATATAATAAGAAATATATTCTATTCCACTAATACATGAATATTGATGTAATTTATTAATATATAAAATAAATGGTAGTTCATGGTCATGCGAAATTGCTTGGTAAGTAGTACCTATTTAATTAAAATATTAAATCTTAATTTATTTAGTCAATTGGTTGTCCACGATAGCCCAGCTCTAAATAGTGTTGCATATGATTTTAAAAATTTGTAAAATCATTAGGAATAAATTGATTAGTTGACTTTTGTGTATTGATGCATTATCCTTAACTATAATAGCAGCAGGTAGTAAAATGCTAATAATCTCCATTATCACGGAATAATATACCATTATATGATCTTTCCATGATTTTACATGTAAAACTTCACCACACCCTATGATGCAAAGTACATGTCACAATTGGAAGATTTGTCATATTGAGAAAAGTTGGAACCTAAAAAAATAAAAATATAATTAAATACTAAAATATGCTAATAAATCTTTATTCAATAATTAACTATAATTAAATACAAAGTGAAAAACATAATCAAAATAAAAGAAAAAAATTAAAATTTAAGTTAACAAAAATTAATCATTTTTCGCATCATAATTTCTCCATTATATATCCTTTTTCTTTAATTAACATTTACATAGTCTCCCAAGCGAATAAAAAGTTCTACATCCCACTTGTTAGAACTATTAAAGTATGAAAAAATCTACAAATATCACGCGTTTTTTTCTCATTTACATAGACGGGAATGATTTGAATAATGCATTTTTTTGTAATGCAAAAATGCAACAGTACACTTACATTTTTTCCTTTTGAGAGTTTAACCTAGTGTAAGAAAATAGAATCTTTCTCTGGAGATGTTTATCAGTCTTAGGCAATTGCCGAATATTGGTAGCTCCCGGTGTATTCCTATGATCCGGTTCTTTGCCTGCATTTTTTTTGGACCATCGGAGATTTTTGACTTATGAACCAGAAGGCAAATTCTCAATTATTTCTTTAAGTGTGAAGGTATTGATGGCTATTAGCAGGTCCATAATTTGTCTTTCAATGTTTGATGTGTCCTTGATTTTTTTGTGCATGAATTCTTTTAAAGTCTCACCAATATTCTGGGAATGTATCCCGTTTTATTTTATGAATAGAGGCCTTCGACATATTAACAAATTTAGCTATGTCCTTAAAACATCGAAAAGGTATTTAGTATTAAATTGCAAAAATATTAAAGTAAATGATATGTGATATTGTAAATATGTTTTTATATGTAAAATTATTCATATACATAATAAATATATTTTAAAAATTATTTTTTTTAATTACAAACTTCAAGTGCGGCACTTTAAAAAAAAATTGTTTAATATTTGTTTAACATACATTACATAATTGTTTAAGTATGATTAAAATAAAAATATAAGATCATTATATTTTATTTTAACATCTGGTAAAAAATATTTCCCCCTTCACTGTATGTTCATTATTCTATTCTCTGGAGGCTTAAACTATTTTATCTTTCTAAATTTTGTTATTCCTTGTGGGGTTAGAAATAGTTTCAGGCCAAATTCTTCTATATCCAGTGGTCTTAGATAACTTTTTCTGGTGCCAAAAACCTTCAATTAGTAAAACATTCTTCATTTTTTTATATTATCCTTGTGGAGCAAAAGATGATGTGAAGAACTCCTTTCTTACACCGAAAATTACCTGAGTTCAAGAAAATAGTTAAAAATACTTTTTTCATCTAATACCGATAATTAACTCATTTAAAAAGAAAATTGAAAAATATATTTTTTATTTTTCTTAAGAAGCAAAAAATAATAGCAGGGCTTACTTTCTACTATGCCCTGAAGTCCTTAAAAAAAAATTTTGAACCAAAAACCATTTTCTATTCTCAAAATGGCTGGAAAATTCTGTAATTTATAATCTTCATTCAGCAAAAATAAATAAATAATGGCGGTATCCAAAGTTCACAGAATTTTTTTCTGATACTAACTTTTAACTAGTCTTAAGCCCATTAGTTCGGATATTGATTACAAAAATTGAGGCTGGGTTGGATTTTAATTTTAACAATAAACCTGATTTTTTCTTTAACCAAGTTTGGTTTTCTAAAATTTTAAACCTGGTACGATTCAAGCAGGTTCATAAAACGGACCCGGTTAAGGTTTATCTCTTGTTTAGAAACATCAATCTAATTTTTAAGTCAATTTTTATTGTTAAATTAGGAATGGTTGGGTGGGGCAAAGCTCACCTTTAATATTATATCTCACTCAAATTTCCATAATAAGCTTAGATATTTTAAACGCACATTAAGGTAACCCTAAATTAATATAAATATAAAAATTTTAAATGTATTGATAAAATAAAATTTATATATAACTTTTTGTAAAGTTAGCCTAAAAAAGTGAAAAATTGCGATTAACTATTATATGGCATATTTTTAGTAAAAAAATTATTTATTTAATCTCTAATCATTAATAAATTACAGAGCTTGAAAAAAGTCAAGATTTTTCTTTTTTTTTAAAAAATTAATTACAAAATATTTACTTTAAAGATTTTTAACAAAAATATTTGGAATAGGTAAAATTTGATCAAAAATTTGAAGATATTTTTCAAACTTTGTTAAATTCTGCATTTTTATAAAATTATTGAAATATCAAACATTTTAAACATTATATATATTTAGTTTTTTTAAAAAAATTACCGAGTACAAATGTGGGAATTAGTAACACCCCTGCGAAAATCAAACGTTAATTGGAAACTATCAAATAAAAAAACTTTGTACATAATTAGAGAAATATGAAAGTTATGAAAAAATCAGGTCAAAATTTCACGTTAGTAACAATTTTAAAATCTCTGGGGTATCCAGTATGCCACTCATAAAATTTTTTTAAAACGATTTTAAAAATCTGAATTACATTTTTTTAAGGATATTATTGGATTGTATCATATATAAACCACATGGAAATACATTTTCCATTTTTTTGTAATTATAAATTTAATAAATTTAAAAAAAAATTAGAACGGAGACCCTCGTTTACATTGAGTTTAAACGCAGGTTTGCAAAAAAGGTCCCTCTATTGGGTTCATAACTTAGAGTTTGGTTTGATAAAACCATGTTTTATTTAAATTTATGCCAGGCCATGTTTAAATCATTTATAAATTTTTTAAAACTAAAAAATATTATATATAATGCTGATTCCCTCACCTTGGTATTGGCCAAAAATGGGTCTGATGCATTTCTGGTTAATTTTTAAATATTTTGAATAACACCATGTGACCAGAATAACTGATCTTCAAATTCTTATTTCGATCTAGGACTATTTTTTTCTCGAAAGAAGCATAAAAAGTGAAATTTATTTATAAAAATATTGGCCCGAGCCTTTTGTTTTGAAATTAATCAATTATATTTTATTTTATAAAATTATCAGGATAAACAAGCTCAGAGTCCTTGGACGGGAACATCTCAGTTTTTACCCACCACCAGGAAAATCATACAATTTTCTTCGGGAAAGGCTCCAAAAGTTTGAGATTTTTAAACAAATTTTAATTATTTTCAATTCTTATATGATAGAAGCACCTTTAAATATAAAAAATATGAATCTTGGGTGATTTCATGACAAGTGATTCGCACGGTCATTTTTAAAAATGAATGAATTGCCATAGAGGTTAAATAGATTGTGCACTTTATACAATCCAAATTTTAATGCACTAGCTCAAATATATCCCGAGTTATGGGTCTTCTAAGTTCAATGAGAGCCTTTTCCTCTTTTGACGAATCTTAAAATACTCAAAATATTTTTGGTCTAAAGTAACAAATTTTATAATTTTGTAGCCCTTAAAGTTTTCCTTAAGAAAAGTAAAAATTATTTTAAAATATCTTTAGTGTCTTTGTATCCGGTAAAATAAAAAAAATTAATTTGAAAGTGCCCCATTTAAAATGATGAAACTCATGAAATGTGTTTATTGCCAATATATTTACATATTTAAGTAAAAATATTAATGGAGAGAATCTAAATTTTATTTAGGAATAGAAAAATCAATTATAAATGGCGCTTGAAGCGTCAACTTATCAAATATGTTTATTACCTTATTTAAATATTTAAGTAAAAAATAATAATGGAGAGAATAAGAATTAAAATTTTATTTAGTTTTTATATTTTTTAGGTATAAAAAAGCAATTATAGAGGACGCTATCTATGATGATAATTATAATATATTTTCTTTATTGGAGTACAAAAATATGTATTTTAAAAAAATTTCAGTATATATATTATGGAAATATTAATGATTATTTATAATAGAAAATTTATATTCTTATATTTATCCTCTATAACTGATTTATTTATTCCTAAAATTATAAAAACTAAATAAAATTTTAATTCTTATCTTTTCCATTAATATTTTTTACTTAAATATTTAAATATATAATAAGCATATTTGATGAGTTTCATCGTTTCAAACGCCCTTTATAATTGATTTTTCTCTTCCTAAAATTATAAAAAACTGAATAAAATTTAAATTCTTATTTTCTCCATTAATATTTTTGTTTAAATATATAAATATATTGATAATAAACACATATGAGTTTCATCATTTTAAATATGGCACTTTTCAAATTAATTATTTTTGTTTTACCGGAAATACAACTACATTGAATATTTTTAAAATAATTTTTGCATTTTCTCAAGGAGAATTTTAAGGGCTACAAAATTATATAAAGTTTGTTACTTTAGACCAAATATATTTTGAGTATTTTAAGATTCTTTAATAGAGAAAAAGGCTCCCATCAAACTTTGAAGGCCCATAACTCGGGATATATTTGAGCCAGGGCATTAAAATTTTGATTTATATACAATCTATTTAACCTTCATGACAAGTTTCATACACATTAAAAATGGTTGACCAAAAATAACGTTATTTTGGTCAGTTTTTCATGAAATTACCCTCTTGCATAATTATTCCTTATTCTACGTCAGGCTGAAAGTTTTGGCTTAGCCTCCAATTTCCAGCTATTTTTCTTTGATTATATTATCGTATCGATTAATTATTCTAACTAACGATGATTATTTATTGATACACAAAGCCCGGGGATAGGATTGTGTACGTCGCAGGCGCTTTCGATCTTTTTCACGTCGGTTTGTTGGATTTTATTGAGCGAGCCTCAAAAGAGGGCGATTATTTGATAGTTGGATTACACGCTGACAAGGTATTTTTATGCTTTGGTTTTATTATTCAATTTGTTTTACCCTCAGATCTCCTTTTGAATCGATTTTACAGGAGAATTAATTTTTACAAAGCATACTTTAAATTTACTTATTTATTCTATTTAGATTTTAATGTTGAATAATTTGTTGAAAATTCTCATAATAGTAGTGACTTTTAATAATGAACCCTAATAGAGGGGGAAATTTTTTTAAATACTTACTTTTAATTTCCTAGCGACAAATTTCTGAGATATTATTTCTTCAATTTATTAATCTTAACATCAAAATTTAGGAATCAATATTAATCACCATTAACATCATTCCTAATTAATATTCCATCAAAATTATACAAATTTTGATTGGCATATTCTATTATATAATTAAGAATCAATAATATAAGAATAATTCTATATTAATAATTTGAAATACTAAGACAAGCCACCCATTTATGGATAAGAGGCACTCACGGGTTCATATATTATAATAATAAAATCAAAAAAAAACTACAGTATAAATCAAAAATTTATCGCTAATTATAATATATTGTAATAAGAATTTATTAAATACAAAATTTAAGTACATAATTTCTCCAGCAAATCGGTATTCATATCCTTAGATCCAGTATCTTTTTTTTAACTTGATCATTCACTATAGGTAGTCACACGTTGGGATGATGGTCCAGGATCTGGGTCTGCTATATCTCTACCACTTTTATAAAAATAATGGAAAATTTAAGAATAACCCCTCATCTAAATAAATATAAATGTCTGAATCACACTTCATAAGATAGGAAAGTTTCTGATTCATCCATCATCAAATAAATATGAAAATTCTTATTGCCCGTCATTCTTGACGTGTTATCATCTAGAATCTTATATTTTTGATAACAGGTTCTTAATAGATCCCTAAAATATATGTAAATTTAAGGCATAGTCACAACTTTTTTTTTAATATTCATGATAGCGTTCTTTATTTCCTTGTATCCAATAATTTCTTAAAATGCTTGAAGCATTAAAATCGTACTTTCTTTCAATTAACAATCCAACAATTATCAGAAATTTTTTTGTAAATGATTTAAATAAGGTATATTTGTGGTATGCCTATTCCTTTAGGTTCATTAAATCAGATGTGACCTTTATAGGCATGATTTATTCCAAACCCAGCCCTTGTCAGGAGTAAAAATTGCCCAAGCCCATATTCAGAAATTTAAATTATTGTTTTTAATGAAAATAAACAATATTTCAGAGTATTAGGTAATTTTGTTTGCAATACTGAAATTTATTATTATTAGCGAAAAAAAATGCAATATATTTTTAAGTTTGAGAGTTTTAAATGAAAAAATTTTAAACCTACGATCATTAAAATTTTCTATAAAAACTCAGGCCTGGCTAACACACGTTGAAAAATATATTATATCTTACACCTTATGAACCACAAGTCGTCCTATGAAGATCTTATTGAAATGTTGAACCATTTTGAATCATTTAAATAAAATATTTGTTAACATAATTTTAAAAAAAAAATCCATTTAAAAAAGCAATATTTGAAACAAATGTTAAAAAATTTAAATGACACAATGAAAGATAATTTATTAAATGTATAAAGATGTAGCATTTTATATTTTGTTTTAGTAAGAACCTCTAGAAGAATCGAAATGTTTCCAATCGGTGGAAATTAAAAATGTTCCCATGTAATCAGATTTAGAAAAGTTTATAGTTTTAAAAAATAAAAATGTTTCTGTTCAACTAATTTTGCAACTTTCAGATGTGTTGAATATGCAAAACCTGTTCTACTTCAAAAATGGGTCATTTTTCTTATATTCCAATCCTTGAACAATGTAGTAAACTGCTATTAAAGCAAGCTTCATTTTTTTCTATATCAGCTCATAATGCCAACATTAAAAGAATCTTTTCTTTAATCAATAGTCAAATGAGAGGAATAAGTTGTCCTTGTTCATTCTGCCAAAATTTCTATAAATTTTTAAAGAAAAAACCAAATATGAAATAAAAAAATATGATTTTTGGGTTTACGATTTTATCTAGTAAAGAAATAATTGGATTTTTCAATTCTTTTAACAAATTTCTCACATCTGGACGCGATTTTTACCCTTCTCACTTATAATTTTATATTAAATCTACACTAATTTCAAAGAATTATTTAAATGCTTTTAAAACCTTCTTAAATACCTTTTTAAACAAAGAACTCCCATCATAGATCCGAATCAATTATGGGGCCAACCTGATTGCCTAAACAGAAACTCTATGGTGGTATTCACCCCATTGCAATTGGCTATTTAGAAGATTTTCAGCAAAAATAATTGCCACAGGTTAAAACCCAGTTTTAAATTACAAAGTGTACGTATCAATTAGGATTTGATGTTAAGGGAAAAGGTAAAATGGCTTCACATGCCATTCGTATTATATTCAAAATTCTCCTTCTAACATGGCTATTATCAAAGTAGACTTTAAAATTTCAATAGCATAATTGTTTTTATCCCAACTTTCTTGATTATTCCAAATCCCTAGACATACGCTTTTATTCAGCCCAAATGTCATTAATTTATCAAGTTGCAAAATTACAGACCTATAAAGTGATAATTCATAAAGTACTGTAACATAAATTACCAAAATCTTTAACATCTTCTGATGAGGCATCTTGGGTAGTATATAAAATCATTACTATTAAAAATAAAATATATGATCCATCGCATTTATATTAACTAACGTGATAGAAATTACTATTTGCTTAACTTGGTATAATGATTATTATTGTATAAAATTGACCATAAATAAATTGGATAAATTTGAATGACATTTTTTGAGGATTATGTATATATATGGTTGAAAATTCATAAATTTTGATGTTAAAATTAATAAAATGAAGAAAGATATTTCCAAAATTTGTCATTTATTTTGTCTGAAAATAAAAGTAGTATTTAAAAAAAAATTCCAGATAAAAGTTGAAGATTAAGAAATTGGTTCCTTGACCAGAATTTTTTTTTATTGAACATTTCCCTTATATTTTTCAAAACATATTTATTATTACAATTTACTGTTTCCTAGACCCTTATATAATTACATCGACAATCATATAGTCAGTTTACCTCATTCAAATTTTTACAATTCATGGCCACATGTCCGGCTCTTTTACATTTAAAACAAAAAGTGAATCGTCTTCATCTGATTCCAACAATAAAACTTATTTGTGTAAATAATTCCGTAAATTTTTCTTACAGTGGAATCCCATAATACAGACTTTCTTAAAGGAAACAAACCCATATTTTGTTTTTTCACGATACAAGTTTCAGCTTTATGTCCTTTATAAACACATCGGTTTCAAATAATATTATTTCTTTTAAAATTAAAATTGGTGCTGATTTTTTTATGCCTTGAAAACAATTTTTTAGATTATGACCTTTTTTTTACCACATATTTAACAGCTAGGTAAATATCCTTTCTATTATTCATTTTATATACATTACGGGATATAACTTTACTTAAATCTTTTAATTCTTTTAGTATTCCAAACATTCGAAATGATCATTAATATTCGCATTCAATTTTTTAATCACATTAGGTTCACCATTTGATTTCATATTAAATTCCTTTCTAAAATTTTCAATGTACATGAGGCATTATCCGACACCACGGAACCTTTATTTAATCCATGAAATACCAATTTTTAATCCATTCCTTCATTATATTCAAAACTAAATTTATCTTAATTAATATTTTACAATTTACCTGATGAAACATCTACTTAAAAGCACAAAGTTTTGTCCAACACATCTGGAGTTAACGGATTTACTAAAAAAAACTTTTTATCAAACGATTGAAAATTATAAAGGATTATATAATGTTAAAAACAAACAAGCTATAACTAAATTGGGAATTAAATAAAACTATTAAGAATTTTATAATAAAAAACTTGATTGAGTAAAACCTTGCTAAAATACAGTAATTATAATGATAATTAAAAATCATCTCATTTTTTTTGTTTAAATTACTAAAAAAAAATTTTTTTAATTGCCTTGCATTGTGCTTCTTATTGATATATAAATTATAAATGACTCAAGTGTTAACAGTAAAATCATCTACAATTCATAAGATAAGTATTTTAAACCTGGAATACATTACCCCGGTAATATCAGATTTTTAAATTTAAAAAAACGCGCTCAAAAATTGACTTAAAGTTGAAAAAATAACACATTGTCACTAACATATATATTTAAACTAGGTTTTGGGTAAACCACAATTACCTGGGCTAAGAATCCTGGTCAGTCGTCGCCATTTTCTTAGTTCAACTCTTATCTGGAATTTTTTAAATACTTACTTTTAATTTCTTAGACAAAATAAAACGACAAAAATCTCGGAAATGTATTTCTTTAATTTATTAATTTTAACATCAAAATTTATGAATTTCCAATAATAATCACCATTTCCAATATTGCGTAATATATATAAAAAACATTATTCCTAATTAATATATAACCAAAATTATACAAATATTGATTGGCCTATCCTGTTATTTAATAACATATAATCCAAATTAAAAAAAATTAACAATTCAATAAGAATAATCCGAAATCCTATGGACAGAAATATTCCGGGAAATTAAAAAATATAAGAGAATCATGAGAAATTCTCACAAAAAAAACATTTTGTCAAAAAGATAAAATAATAACACCATAATTTTATAACCTTAACAATGGTTATAATTGAAGTTACTTCACTTGACATAGTAGAACTAGAGCATTAAATTAGGCCTTATCATTTGGCTTTTTAGAGAAAGCTAACTCATTCCTAGCAAAAAAATACCCTGTATATGATTTAATTTATAAATATTAATATATATATAAATAACTTTGTCTTTAAGAACTTAATACTACTATTTGCAGGTTACTAGAAAATTTATACACTTTTACATGTACTGCCATTTTGATGATTTAGAAATGCCAATTAATATTAAATAGTTTTTGGTGCATACAAAGATAAATATATTTATTATATTAAATTACATAATAATGATAATTATCCCCCACAATCTTCGATATATATATAATGTAACTTGAATAATGATAAATAAAAAGATATAATAAATAATACGAGGTAAACTTACAATTTTAAGAAATGAGTAGGTGTTTAATTTACCTCTAAACATATCTATTCCAAAGAAAATTAAATTAAGTAACTTTTTAAAATGGTTTAAACAAATCAAGGATGTTTTGATCAATAAGAATAGCTTATAATATCAGAAAAATTCTATGCCTTTACATCTCTAAACCAAAATATCATTAAAAAGAATATTAATTTACATCAATATCTAATTATTGTTATATTTTTTCCTTAAATTAGGTGGTGAACAGGTATAAAGGCTGCAATTATCCTATAATGAATCTTCACGAACGTGTATTAAGTGTGTTGGCCTACAAGGTATTAAAGTTTTTTTTATAACTTTTGGGGATATATTTAATCCTTTTCATCCATGTTATAATATTAATACATTCCATAGAGAACTGCAAAGTAATTTTTTCGCAACCCGAGCCCGAATTAAAAAAATTTTTTGTCCGAGCCCGAGCCCGAGCACACATTTTTTAGTCCAACCCGACCCGAATAAAATTTTGCAATTTAAGTTTTAATATTATAATAACCAAAAAAAAATTTATGTGTATTTATTCAGTTCAGCCACCTTAAATAAAAGTTTATATGACGGCCATAATCTATTCAAGATATATATTAAGTTGCATTTTATTAAATTTGTAAAAAATATTATAAAACGATTAATATACAAGAGAATTTAAAAATTATAACGATTATATAATACAATAAGCATCATTTATGCGAATATAGAAATGATATAAAAGTTAATAAATATATAAAAAATATAATGAACATATTATATTATATTGACTTCATCAATATCATTATCAAAATTATCACAAAGTGAATAATTATGATATATAAATAAAGAGGCGTCCAGTTTATCTGGCTTTAAACGAGTCCTTCTCTCCTCAAAGGCCCTACCAGCAGCTGAAAACGCCCTTTCACTGCTAGCCGCCTAAAATAATTTAATAAGATCATATTTTATGTATAAATATCTAACCTGTTGTTATTGAATTATATACATAAATAAATTTGCATATAATACAAATGACATAATTAAGTTTTTCTTTATTTTCATCATATATAAATGAAAATTTCTTCCATACATCGGATTTTCCATTAAGATTCTCCTTACTTCATACTCTTTTATCTTAATCTTTTCACCAATTTTTTTTAATTTTGCATCCATTGAGATATTTTTTTTAATATGGCTTTGTCTAAAATCTAAAAAAAATATTTAAAATGACTTTAATCAATTAGACTGAAATAAACAGAGTTGAGCAGTACTGCGAATACTTGTATCTAAAGATACATGATACAAGATCCCTTTATATCTTGTACTCAGTATATTTTGACATTTTTAATAAGATACTGATATCTGTATTTAAGATCCTTAATTCTGAAAAGAATTTTGTATCTTTTTCATTTTCTTGACAAAAGATACAGATACAGATTTTTTTTAATATTCATGTTTTAAATTTTACATATCACAGTATACATCTTATTTTCTTTGAGAATCTTGTATTAATTTCCTAATTTTTTCTGCCATATTTTAAAATATTGACAACCAAAATTAGCTGGAAAATTTACAACTCATATTAAGGTAGATAGATAAAAAAATAATAATACCAAAACGAAATAAGTAAAGATTATATTTTATATATAAATGTAACTTAGAATATCATTACCAATTTTATATAATATTTTTTAATTTCTAGGATGATTAACATTTATGGTAGTGAAATTTAAATTAGAAATAAGTTCCCCTGAATCAAATCCCAATCTTAAATTTTATATGGAGATTTTTAAAAACAAATGTTAAAAAAGACAATGTATAATAGGCTAGATAAATAATAAATAAAACTTATCTTTAGTACATAAAATATGTCTTATCTTGTAATTCACGGGAAACACACAATTTAGTGATAAAATAGTTTGGTATCCGGTTGTTATGTTTATAAAATAATAATTAATGACATGACATGTTAATATGATTGACATTTTAATCCTAAAATGTGATAAATATTAAATAATATGATTTTATTATTAATATTATAAATTATACTGACTATTTAAGATATTAATATTATTATTTATTTTTGGGTCGGGTTTTCGGGTCGGACAGCTTTTACAACCCGAGCCCGAACCCGAGAAAATTTTTTTGATGTCCGAACCCGACCCAAGCCTCCGAACCCGAGGCTCGGGTCGGGCTACGGACAACCCGTGCAGTTCTCTAACATTCCATTTAAAATAATTCCCTGTTTTAATTAACTTAGTATTATATAATTAATTTATTTTATAATCTTACCCTAATTTTTTATCTTAATAGGGATTAATTTTACTCTAATAATTCAGTAATAAACCCAATTTCATGCTGAAAATTAATTCTAAATCTTTTTCAAGTATGCCTTTTTACTTTTTATAATATTAAAAATATGTAAGTCAAGAAAAAGTATGAATATTTTGTTAAATATTACTTGACCAGTTTTATAAAATATTTTACCTTTTATTTCATTATTTTTATAAATTAGTATGTGTCAGAAGTGGTCATAGGTGCTCCTTATTCTGTAACTCCCGAGCTAATGGATCATTTTGCCGTGGATATTGTTTGCCATGGGGTAACCCCCGTTTCTCTAGATTTTGATGGCTCTGACCCCTATGCCGAACCTAAACGTAGGGGCAAGTTCAAGTTGGTGGATAGTGGAAATACACTTACCACATCAGATATAGTTCAAAGGATCATTACTAATCGGTTCCTAATATTTTGAATACCATTTCTGATATATTGTTAAGGATAATCTTTAATTGGCATTTAAAAAAATATGGCTACAGTTTTGTTGAATGATGAAAATATGCATCAGTTAGCATTTATATATTGATATAAATTATAAAGATAGTTTGGAATCAGGGTTCAGAATATTTGGAGGGATTTTGTTTCTTAGATTTGGGCTGTTCCAATCTGCTACAAAACTTGGATATATGAATAATATGTCTTCCTAGAGGGTTTAGTTTTAAAGGCAAAATAATTTTAATAATGGGATTCGGGCAAGGTTAATTTTTTGAAATGTTAGGTCAACCTATAAAACAAAAAGTAATTAGATATAAATAAATTAATGAAAATTATGTGTTTTGAAAAATGAATCTTGGGCTACTAATATTTAAAATGATTTTATATATTTACAAATTAATTCAAAAAATAAAATATAATTTTTTAAAGATGTAAAATGGAAAATGGCTATTAATCTAAAAATTTAATATATTATTGTGTATTTAGTTAATTGATTTTATTGTTAATTGCCAAATAATATAAAATATATTAATAAGGGGGAATTTTAGGTTAAAATTGATTAATATTTATCAGTAATCACAAATTTGTTTGTTAGAGTTAACTTCGAGGTCAGAAATGCTAAAAAGGAAAAGAAGGAAAGAGACATGTATGATAAATTATATTTGCAACCCTGTAAAAACAACATTATAATATCTAACAATGGATCGATAGGCATTCCCCCAGTAAATCAATAAAGCAAAAAATATACCATGTGATTAATAAGTATACCACATGCATGATTTTTATTGTATCAAATATATTAAATTATTAGTTTCTTAGATTTATTTGTTACTTATATTTATCTTTGTAAAAACGTGATCTTTTTTAAGTAATCTTTATATAAACATTTAATTTATTGTAATTATACATTTTTATAACCTTTTAATAAACCAAAAAAGTAATGATATTAAATTTAAAAATAGTATTAAATTTAATTAGTACTTAACATTTATCTGTTTATCATTTGCACTTGAGCATCATTAAACATTCACTAGAACAATTAACAGTATCATAAACACATTTCAATTTTTAAAATAACATTTTATATATATCTTATATTTGCTCATTATTCTTATTGTATATTCTTATAACTGATATTTTTTTTATATAAAATTAGATTACAAAATTATTATATGTGTAAAGATTTTTTTTATAATAAAAGCAAATATAGCTTAAGATTTTATTTTAATTATATGACTGGTATAAACTGTAATTTATATAAAATTTTACTGTTTTAATATGTTTCTTAAGGTTATATTAATTCTTACACCTTTTAATTTTTTTTTCCTTGGAAGGGAATGATACCAATAATGGTTTGTAGGAGGATACATAATTAATAAACTTCCATGTTTTAATTCGAGTTCAACACAATCAGTTATATTACTTACTGATATTGGTTTGTTTTTTGAATTCTTTCTTACTAAAGATTTATGCCTGAAAACAAATGACCTGTTTTCACCTAAATTTATGGATACTATTGGGCTGTTTGGGTCTAAATTAGGCTCATTATCACGATGTTCCCCCATGTAATCAGTACCATTTTGATACCTTTCAAATATCAATTATATTTCAGATATATATTTATTTTACCTATTCACCAATGCAAAATTAAACTTAAATTTAATTAGCTCTTCAATTTCCGATTTTAATCTAAATAGAAAATCTGGCCAAGGCATGGCTGGTACTGTTACTTTTGAAAAAGTATATGTAATGTTTTCATCTCCAAAAGCAACATGTTTTCTTGGTATATTATGCCATTTATTAAAAACAAATACTTTGATTAAATTATCACTTTCAAAATATTTTATATTTTCTTCAAATAAATTAAATAATTTTGTAGCTCTTTTAAAATTTAAATAAGGAATGTATTTGATGTGTAAACAATTAGTCTTTTGCACAATCTCCTTCGTCCCGGTTTGTATAATTTGCTTCATTAAACCTTTCCCGCAAGGGTTTATATTAAAGCGAATATGCAGAGCACTCATTTAATTGATATTTTCAGTTCTTGATCAGTTATTCTAGAGAGTTTATTAATCTTAAAAAATAAATATTAATATATGGTGTATGTTTAAATTAATTGGATTAACAAATTTTTTCAAAACTGAATATCGTTTAAATGAATTCATGCCTTTCCAGATTTGAGATCGTTATTGAATAAACGCTATTATAATTAAAAGCCTGCATCTCAACGTATAATATATAGCAATTTACTAAGCAATAAACTATTAACCATCAGTGGCCCCTCAACGGGGGGTGGGGGGGGGGGGGGTCCGAAGCAACTGCTGCTAAAAATTTGAGTGGGGGTATTTTTTTAAAAATTTAATTCTTTTATTGTTTTACTGCACACATTCATAACCAATTGATTTCTGGTTTATGATATCAGACTCGACCTCGTAATTCCGTTAATACATATTAAATTAAATAATAAAGGGGAGGGCAAATTTTGGTTGATGTTTAGCAAATTTGTTATCTGAGATTTCTTGTCATAAAATTATTTTTCCAACTTCAAAATATGATCAAAAATATTAACAATAAAAAATACATATTTAATAATTGCACATGGCATAATATAAGAGATGATAAATGGACAGACACATTAGAAAAGATATGGCGGAATTAATTGAAACAATATAAATAAAAGCTTTGAAATAGTAACTTTTAAGAATATTTCTCAAAAATGGACAAAGAGCAAAATAATTCTTTTATTGAATATTTAATTGTTTGTATTTAACAATTTACAAAAAATTGGGAATTTATTTTATTTTAGCTTTAAACCCAGTGTGTTTTATATTGCGCCTGATTTTATTATTATGCAGTTTAATGAAAGATTTAGTGATGAATCGATGAAATTTTTAAATCAAGCATCATTTTTTACACCAAAGGGAATGACGGAAAAATCAATCGTTAAAGTTGATATCAAGGATATCGGTGAATTTTACCATTTAAATTCAAGTCAGATTTTTGAAGAAATGTTAAAGTTTCGAAATATTTATAATTATATGTCAGATTCTAAGAATAGTAAATTTATTTAATTAAAATTTTTTAATAATACATTATTTAGCTTCTTCTGATGATAATTCTGAGACTTATGATTTAGACTTGAAAAACCATTCGTTTATTTTACCTTATCGTATAATTGTAAATTTTTCAGCCTTCTCTAGTTTATCAATTTTATATAAATATTTATTAAACATTCCTACTACCTCAAAGGCCAGAGTAAAATTAAATTAATTAAAACAAAACTTCGTAGTACCATGAAAGATCCATTTCTTAATAATTTAACCATTTTATCAATGGAAATTTTTTTGTTTAAACAATTAAATATTGATGATATTATAAATTCTTTCTCTTTCTCTTCCCTTAATTTGTCTAAATGATTAATTTAAAATTAATATTTTTAAAGTATATATTTTTTACATTTTATATATATTATATATTAAAGATTGATGTAATAAAAATAATATTTTTGAAGTATATATTTTTTTACATTTTATTTATATTATATATTAAAGATGATGCGATATAAATCATTTTTGAAATTTTTGGGTGTCAAAAAAATAATCAACCATTTTTTCGAAGGAGGGGGGGGGGAGAATGGTACTTTTCAGAGGGTATTCTAATTACATCGCTCAAAGATTAGGGTCCACTGTTAACCATTATTACGTTTATCTAATGCAACCTTGCCTCATCCTCATCCAAGGGTTTGATTTAAAAAAGTGCTTCCCCGAAATCCAGGCTTTGTTGGGTTTCAGTCAAGATATCTAACCTCGAAACTACACCTGCCATTCAAAAAAAGAATTCTGGTATAAAAGCTCGTCTTTAAAGATAATAGAATACTCGATTCTAACAAACTAGAACAGATTATTTTAATTTCCTATGTGACAAGACTAAATTATTTTTTAATTTTTTTGTGTAAGTCTAAAATTGGGAGTATAATTTTTTTATGGGAGATCGAAAGTGCACATATTATTATGAGTAAGCTTAACTATAATAATTTACTCTAAGAAATATTCAAATTCAAACGATAACTATGAAACTCTCTCGTTAGCAGCCTCTTCATGACAGGGTTATTCACTGGATGCAAACCCCCCTAAAAACCCTTTACCTACCCTCCTAAAAATTCCCAGCGCCTTCGGCGGCGATATTTTTACATGTAGAAGAGTTATTTTTTATATTCGTTAAAAACTCCCTCATTTACAATTAATCAATTATTATAGTATATTGTTTGGCACGAATATGAGTTTACTGATATAATTTTTAATCCTTTTAAATGCAAAAAGTGATCCAGAAATAGTTTTATTTGGAAAATGATGTCTATGATTGTCTGCCATATATAGATTTGATTGATGTTTAGAAATATCGTTGTATTCTATAATAAAAGTATTAATTTTTACAGCAATACATTTTGCCCTATTTTATCTAAAAATTTAATAAATTACCCCTAGTTCACCATCGTTATATCTTACGCCCTATCCCTTCAAAAAAATGTGGATGCAAGTGTTCCTACCCCTCTCGCTCATGTAAGTGTTGCCCGTTAGTGTAAGGTATTAGGTTTAAATCAGTTTCATTAAAAATCCTTTTTTTATTAAATTCTTTCAAACTATATTTTTATTCCACTCTACTCCACAACTTTGTGGGTAATGTTGGTTAGGAATTTTTAAAATTAAAGCTGAAAATTATTCGTATAATGTATAAATATTTAATCTTTTATAATATTAAGATAATTATGCATATTCCTATAAATCACTATCGTTTTTAGTAGAATCAGCATTATATATGTCATCTATTATATGATGGCCTTCATTTATAATATCCTTATGAATAAATAAAATTTGATATAACACGGTCACAGAAAGTAGTAGACTAATAGTAAAAACAGAGTATATATAACAAAGAATTTACTGAGACCAACTCCCCCCCTCCCTCCCCAAACCAATATCTATCCCTCTAAAAATATTTTAGCGTTATAAATTATTATGGTAGTCCCTTCATGTATTTTAAAAAGAATAACTTAAATTAGTACTTTACTACAGGCCCATATCCAGGAATTTCTAGTTTGGTTTTGGGGAGGAGGGGGAGGGGTGTAATTGTTTTTTGAAATAAAACAAATAGTTAGTCACAGCACCGTGCTGAGGCTTTTGTCGGCCCAGGGCAAAAAATAATTTGGCGACCCCTAAAAAAATACACTCGAGCTTATTTGATAAATTTTCGCTATGAGAACTAAAAGCATATATACTTTATTAAATTTAATCAATAATGAGTAATGCACATTAATAAATGATTAAAATCATAAAATAAAATATTTATACTCTTCGCCCTTTTATTTACAAAAGAGGATATTATGTCAATATAATCTAACGAAAGGACGATATCTTTTTCTATTGAAATTAAAGTGAGAGTAACAAGTCAGTCCTGTGCCATACAGAATCAAAGGTAAGTTTTAATTAATTTGAGCTTTGGAAGCTGCGTTCTGCTGGTGCCAGGGAATTGGGGAATAATTTAAAATAATCCTTAATACAATAGATATATTTGTATATTAATTTTAATATATCGTAAAATTTCCAATGAAGTTTTTATGGAATGCTTGTTTAATATTTTCACTGAAGTTTTTAATTCAATTAGTAGATCGATCTTCCGGATTAATATCTCCTTCTAATGTATCCTGATTTGTTAAATATCTAATTGGTAACATTTTTCCTTTAGCTCCCTTTCAGGCGCATTTATTAATTCTGGTTTATAGAATAAGAATTCAAAAAGATCTTAAAATAGCTTTAACTGCTGGAAACCTTCTTTCAATGAATTTCCCGCTTGATCTAATAATATATTAAAAAATTTAATCTCATATTTATTTGAGGGTCTTGTACAGTGCCCTAGCCAGGAAATTTCAGCTGGGGGTGGGGGGGGGGGTGAAACTGCTTACTTGAGGGGAGGACACTATATTTTTAAAATAAAACAAATAATTAAGCATTCATAACTTTATTTAGCTAATTATTTATATAATACAATATAATTAATATTTGTATATATATTTATATACATATAAAAAAAACATTTTAAAAAAATAAATAAATATAGTATTGGAGGATATGTTTGTGACGGTGTTAAAAAAAAATAAAAAAAAATATATTGAGGTTAGGAAGGATAATCTTGTGGGGAGAGACTGCTTATGAAGCTAATATAATTAGCCTTGTGTATTGCGATGGAGAGCCTTTGCCTTAAGAAGAAGCCCTCGCGGGGTTCACCGGTTAGTTGACGAATGTGCGAGCCGAGTTCCTTGAAAAAGGATAAGGCATATTTCCCAAAAGTAGAAAGGGTAGTGGAAATAATGGGGATGAAAATATATTCTTGAGAGATTTCGGAATATTTCGCTATTTTGAGTGTCTCCTTTTTCTCGAGTATATTGACTGTTTGATTTGATGGAGCGAGTGGATCAATACAAGAATAGTCCCAGACCAGGAATTGACCGCGCTTCCAAGGAATTTGCGAAATACCGTCAGGCCGTTTCCCATCAGATCTGAAAAGACCGGATGGTAGAGTGGAGGGGATTTGAGCAGATCTAAGAGCTCTAAGAATGATCGAATTGCATAGATTATGTCTTACAATTCGACCTTTACATGAGCGACAATGAAGACTATGTCTTCCATTGCCCAAAACTGCGGAGCCGCAACCTGAACATATGTGGGGTTGGGTAATAAGGCAATTTAAACGGATACCGATTGCATGTGTGAGCTCGTTTTTATTTAGTTGTAATTGCAGATTAATAGACGGAATGGCCTCGAGAAACTCATGGCCTGAACCATTAAGCAAAGAAGAGAATAAGGGACGGTCTGATAATTGCATTCTGGAAAGAAGTGATTCAACGCAGAGCGCAATAATAGGCCTATCCCAGTCCTTCTGCTTATTAGATTCAGGAAGAGGGTGATCAGCAGAAATTCGTGT